TCTGATGTGGCCAGGTTTACCACCTCCGTGGTTCACTTTGTTCTGTGTGTTGAGCGTCAGGGTGTGGACTCCTAACTGCTGGTGTGAACTTTGTGGTCTCGTTAAGCCAATGGTAAACCTTGTTTGCTCCAGAACATATTTTATATGTCATTTGCAGATACATACAGCCCAGACTATAACGCTTAAACACCACGGCAGGGGGAAAAAACTCTTTGTCACATAACAGAGATTATTTCAAATGATCGAAGGAAATACAATACTCTCAAACGTCACTAGATGAGATCTGTGTGACGCAAAAAATTCCTTATTTTAAATGTCTTATGAATAAGTGGCTGAACCGGTGGTGCAAGTTGGCTCTTGTAAATTCCACCTCTGACTGTGTCACAGAAAAGTCCTGGGAGTGATTAATGAAGGTTCAGATGACAGTTTGCCGTGGTTTACAAGCCTATCTCCTCTCTCTCTCCCGCTCTGCCCCGTAGCTCCTGTATTTTAATGCTCCCCAGATGGGATTGAGGTTCCTGGGACAGGCAGTGACGCAGGCGGAGTGTCGAGTATCAGGGGCCACTGACAGTTAACCATCAATCACACTTCTTACCAGCCAGCCACTTAAATAACAAACGCTGTAACACACCTCTCTCTTTACACCTTTGTTAAGGGCTTTATGATGCCCAAGAATGTTGGCTCCAGTTTGGTCTTTAGACTACAGAAAGAAATCGTGTGTGTGTGTGTGTGTGTGTAAGCGCCTTTGAGGCAGATGTGAATGAAGCCCTGTGTGCAAATGCAGATGCCAGATCAGGGAGGACCTATTAAACAATATACATTTCCAAAGAAGTGACATGTGTTTCAGCTTGCTTGTTATCTTTTATGATAGGTATTTTTTGCACCTTTTCTGCATATGGGCATCTTTGTCTCATTTACAGTATTTCCACAAACTACCGTGGAATATCCATATTAGCCAGCTCATGCAATCCCCCCAAATCCCAGTGGAGGGACCCTGTCGTCAGAGTGACTTGTTAGTTTTCTTTCAATTCTCCAGACTACTACACACATCAGCCATCACTCTCCACAAACTTTATCTGACATATTATTACCCCTCTCACACAACATGATTAATTAAAACAAAACCCCATTCTGTTGGTTTTATTTTTATCACTTGTGGCTGAGGCTGAGGAAGGGAGAGAGGGAGGCACATAAGAGGTGGTGAGTGCGACTGGCTGGCATGTGAAAGACACAAAGACAATGGAGTCGCATATGAAGACCAGCCGTCCAAACAGCCACGGTGCCTCTGGGTGTGCTTCCTGTCCGGATGACATGTACACTTAGCCTGGACACTGAACTTTGACCCCTTGAAAACACAAAATGCCTCAGTTGACATATATAGCGTACGTTTTGTGAAAGACCGTGCACAATGGCAGTTTTTTGTTTCAGAGCACATTCGCCGTCAACACTCCCTGCATGATATAATATAAACATCTGCTGTTTTTTTCCAGTATGAATACAACAATACAATAGCAGAATATACATTTTATCTTCAGAAAAAAATCCATTTGAAAACCATTTCATCCCAACACTTAGCTGCAGGTTTATACAGCAAAGGGAACAGCAGCAAATATAATGTATGTAGAACAATAACACAAACATAGAATCAACACCTCTCTGACTAAATGAATCTTCACTATACTGTAGATAGTATCTCCATTTATTGTTACATGGGTAACAACTACTCCCAGTGTTCATGCTGATGTTCATATCTCTCTTAATTCATATAAACCTAAGGGATATCATTGCAATAGTACTATTGGGAATCATGTACATGCAAACATATACTGTAGTGTGTGTGTGTGTGTGTGTGTGTGTGTGTGTGTGTGTGTGTGTGTGAAAGGCAAATAGTTCAGTGTCACGAGTAAGTCACGACTATGTTCACTCCACTGAGAAAGACGAGAAAACTGAAAGTGAAATAGCAGCGGGAGAAAGACGTGGGCGATATTTTGATCTGTGATCTAATTTTAGCTCGGCATCGGCTTCAAATAGAAACCTCCCTATAAATATTCATGAATGGAGGGGAAACGTCTGCAGCTCTGCGATGCAGAGGGAAAAGAGAGGGGAGGGGATGGCTCTGTGTTCTACCTGAAAGTCTATTTTTAGCTGCGTCGCTGCTTCTCTCAGCCTATTCCCCATGCATGGGGAGGCTAAATTTAGCCGCGTGGAGGCAGAAATGTCGTGCAGAGACAAAAATAGAAACACGTTTATGGTCAAAGCACGCGGGAGCAGCCAGGGATGCAGCATAGAGGTCCGAACAAATAGATGGAGACAACAGGATGAGGAGTGAAGCTGCATGTGTACTTGCAACTGGGGAGGGATGATATGTGTGCTTATAGATCAAAATTGTACACACTATAGGTGTATCAGGTGGCCCGTTTCACTGCTGTAGCACATTAAAGGCATCATTTACACATCTAAACCAGGCTTAATACCTATTTTTTTCTGTATAGGTGATGAGTAATCCTCACATCTGTGACACACACACAGTCAAATACACATTTGTACATTTGCATGCATGCACCCCACCATCTTGAGCCACTCTGGCACAGTCACACGGAGCACAGTTAAGACAAAAAAGCCCTCGTGTGCGTGTCTCAGAACAGGCTGTGCTCTCTTGCTCTTTGAAATATAATTTACTCTGCCTCTCTCTTTTCTCTTTTCTCCCTCACCCCCTCTGTCTTCCATTCCCCCCTCAGACTCGTCTCCCTGGTTATGTATAGTGCGGTCAGTGAGTCTGAATCTGTCACATGAATGGAGGGATGGGGGCTTCTGTTCGGTGTTACGTAACAGCCAGTAACACACCAGCGTCTTGTCCTCATGCAGCATCTTAGGAGGTTGTCAGGGTGGGGAGGGGCACTGGAGAAAGGAGTGGAGAGTAGAATGAATGGGATGTTAGCTTGCTGCAGTTGGTGCACATTAGATGTTATGCTGTAGAGAAAAATGCAGCCTGTATTTTTAAATCTATTACCTTTAACTTTTCATATGTCAACCTTATAATCCTATGCTCATGTTCATTTTTACAATATTTATTTATTAACAAAAACTTGTAAAACTAATGATATTTCCATCAGTTGTACTTTGTGTTCAGTGCAAATTAGCAATTTTTTTACATTTCAGCATGCTAAACAAACATGAAAAACATGGTGAACCTGCCAGTATATTACATATTCTGTACATCAACATATATTCTGTTGCATATAATCAAATGCAATCGTAGGTATAGCTTGTAATGTGGAGATGGATCGACTTATTTCAGCGCTGTGTTATTCAGTCCTCTGTCCAGGAATTTGTGATGTACTCAGGACTGTGATGATGTTTTGGTCTTGTCTTTCATTATTTCCCATACTTATCATCCACAGACATTTTAAACTCAAACACTCCTGCACCCATAACTCAGGGATTTACTTGTTGTTTTGAATATCGTTTCCACTGCTGTATTTATTTGAAAAAGATTGGATGTGTGTGTTAGCTACTTGCCCGTCCAAAATCCTCCACGTTCTGCTAATGTTTGTTTTGCTAAAGCCTGGATTTCTGCTCTGGACTTCCTCAGACTGTTTAGAAAAGGAGAAGTGTTGCCAAATGGAGCTGCAGGTCGACGGAGTCTCTCTGGGTTCACATGTCAGCAGAGGGGCTGTGGGAAAAATAGAGATCAGAGCAGAAACCTGCCCAGACTGTGAAGAGAGGCTTCGCCGTGCCTTTATTTGGTTTGTCTGTTGTTGGATCGTGTTTGATCAGGAGGAACTCCTCCTCACCTGAACGCCGGGCTATTTTTAGACTCACACTCACATGAACCCACATCAATACTCTGATGCTAATTTTATACCCGCTGTTCACACACACACACACGTAGACCTCCTCTGGGTGTTTATACACACATTCTTGTACCTTACCTGCATGACATCAGCCACGCAGGCTTCACGTCTTTAATAATATCTTCATACTGTTGTGTATTTTCAGGCTCATTTTAGTATATAACAGGCATGATGGGATTTGTAGGGGTCTCTGATTTTCCTGATTTTCTTAAAACCTCCAGAAGAAGCAGGCTACGGCAGGAGGATAACCGATTTGCAGCCATCAGAATTAGAAGCCATTATGTCTGTGGCACTCAACACCCTCTCATTGTGGTCCCTTTCTAATTGTGTTTGTCTTATCACGGACAATTTTAAATGCAGTGCTGGTTTTAGTCATATCAGTGGGATAACTACACTCCCACATATTCACACTGGCATATCCTTTGTGGCACCCTCCTAAATTTGTCATTTTTAGCTCTTATTTCGGTCTTTACTGGTTCATAATGCTCACACTTCCTTCTAAATTACACTATTTCCTGTTCAAGAGATAAAAACGTCTGAATGCTTTTACCCAGTGATGAAAACTTGTGATATTTTTAGTTCTGAAGTATTGTTTATTGTATTCCTGAAGCAGCACCAGTCTCTCTAAACAAGCGGAACATTTTCATCACCAAATAAAATCTGTAGTCTATGGATCAGTCTTCATTGATCCATGTGTTTCTCTAAAACAAATCTATTCAAAAAGACACTACAGTGGCAGCTGGAATTGTAAGTCAGACAGTATATTTCTGTACTGTATCTGATTCTACAAATAATCACAAGGTGACGAACTGTATAAGTTACATATACATCCAGAATCAGATTCATGTCGGACATGTACGAATGCTCTCAGCAGACATCCTGTGTTATATATGATATGTTCAAACCAGCAGTAGAAGTGTCTTTGTAGGATTAATATTTTAGTGATAAAAAACATCACTTGTTAATGGTTTTACGATGGCAACATCTCAACTATTCGGTGTCCACGAAGGATGAATGGATGCTTCTTTCATTTCCTTTCCATTCTGTGGAATAAATCGGTATGTTTGTGTGTTTATCCATAAAATGTGTTTTGAGTCATCTAACCTGAACACATTCCTTCCCCCTCTCTCTCTCTTATTGTTGTAGTTTTGATGTGGAGAATGGCTTGGCAGTGGGGCGCAGCCCCCTGGACCCCCAGGCCAGCGCTGGCTCTGGCGGTCTGGTCTTACAGGCCACCTTTCCTCACAGCCAGCGGCGGGAATCCTTCCTCTACCGCTCCGACTCTGACTTTGACCTTTCACCCAAAGGTCCTTCCAGAAACTCCTCCACTGCCAGTGACCTGTAAGTTGATTTCAGATGTTCCTCGATTCAATATTGTTGATGTGGCGCCTCTTTGTGAACGGGAGACACTCTTCTACACATTATGCAATGTTTGTAGTGTTTTTCTTGATTTATTCAAGATTATGACGACGGTTTCAGTTAAAACCTTCAGAACAGTCAATTGTCTCTCAATAGTTCCTCCTACTTTTATGTTGTGTATGTAGTGATACGTGTATATTTGAGTACACAAAATGATGAGCCTGCTTTCCACGACTTAAAGTCCCACTAAAATCATGCTTCATTGGCTGAATAAACGTCTGCGGTGCTCTGATGAAATATAAAATTGACATCTCACAATGCAAAAAGTGTATCAGTCTCAATCTCAATACCAACAGTGGTCTGCCTGGTGTGCTTTAGGTCACATACAACGTGAATGAGTTTACTGTAGATATTCAGTCTTAACTCTGAATATCTACAGTATAGTGTATAGCATGAGACATATTTGTACAAAGCGTTTGGTCCAAATGCTGGGATACCCCCATTTCAGATTACTGTTAAATGCCCTGAAACAAAAAGAAGATATTGTCTGCAAAAACAATTCTCTTCATGTTTTTCTTTCTTGTGCTCAGACGTTTCCACATTGGAAGATTCAGATGATGGTGCATTGGTTTAAGGGTTGGCTCCCTTACAAGCTGCAGCAAACAGTTGCGGTCTCAATTTAATTTGCAAATTTGAAACGAGTCTTTTTGACATTTTCTTTGGATTCCTAGAGAGCGCTCTAAAGCCAAAGGGCCCTACTGTTTAGGTGGAGTAATTTTTCTTTTATGGCTTCATATTCTGATCCTACACTGACGATAATGATAAGAGTAAGACCGTAAGTGAATTTTGATTTCTTGTGCCAGTCTTTCAGTTTTATATGGACACTTTTAAAACATGCTGTGCTTTGCGTGTCAAAAAAATCAACAGATCTACAGCCCAACATTAGTACAACCAGCTGTTCTTCCACATCAAATGTTTGTATATCGAATCTGCTTCACTGGGATTGCAAGAAATTGGAAGAAAGGGGCAAATTTCTTGTCTGTTATTTATTTTTTTCGTTGTTTGTGTTGACGATATGTCCCTGAAACAGTCCCCTACGCAGTTCGTAATGTTTAAACACCTTTAAGTCTGGAAAGTAAGCAGTCGCAGGTCTCCTCATCGACTCTCACCTATCTGTTTTTGAAGGGAAGAAAGCTTGAAGCACTGGGAAGTCAACTGGTTGTCATCTCGGTGAGACATGATACAACTAAATTAAGATAAAAACACTGACTCTATCCCCTTGAAGCCCTCTTCTGCATTCCCTCTAGAGGGCTTCATGGCTATTTCCCCCCTCCATCCTGACAAACGTGACTAAATATTAAACACTTAGACCCCCCCGCTGAAGCACCCAGTTCTCTTTTGTTTGTTTTTGCATGTGACAACCAAGTCTGTTTTTATTTACTTGTTAGTATTTACCAGTTCGTACATATACCACCCATCCTTCCACCTACCCCAATCTGTTTCCTCAGTGCATGACATACTTGTTTTTTGACAAAGCTACATTTGAATAGAATGATGACAAAGGGAGTGGTGAGTGAGGCAATCTGAGTAAGTAAATATGATAACTAAATCTCTGGCTGCCCGGTTGTTCAGACAACCTCGTTAAACTAGAAGTGATACCAGGTGCAGTTTGGTTTCTATTCATTTCATCTTAACAAAGTCGTTAAGCCTTCATATCTAACACTGATGAATTATTATTTTTTAATATTATTACATTTAGGAAACTATAGATTGGACCTCAAGTCAGGGTTTCATGTCTTTTCCTCCTGTGTATTCTGTTCTGTATTGCAGACACACAGAAGACATGATTGTCACACCATTTGCACAGGTGAGTCCGTTGAAACCTTCCCATCCAACCTTTTTGAAGCAATTTTCCTTTCTGTGCTATTTGAAAAATTTGCCAGATGATCAAATAAAAATAAAATTGTGTTTGTTTGTTAGCTAAAGACAGTAGGTGTTTCAAGAAAACTATAATAAAACTCCAGATGGTACAAGACTGGGCTTACTGCCTCATCGGAACAGCCCCTCAGCATTATGTTGGCCTTGCAACAGGATCGAGCATCCCCGTTGGCGTTGCGCGGCTCTTGCGTGGGATGTGCGTCACACTTGTGCTCACTTTACACCATGAAAGAAGCGGGGAATCCAATACTGCTGGATCATGCTGTTTAAATTTGCATGCAGGCTGATAAGGGCTGCCACATGGGTCAGGCCTGGACACCGGATACGCTGTGGGCTTCCTCTGTGCGCTGAGTCAGTGTTTGGCTACAGATGGAGTGACAGACATGACATAGAGGGGTGTCAGTGATGCCATCAAAACATCAGAAAGGGGAATGCCTCTGCGTACCACTTCAGCTTGGAGGACGAAAGCCACAGTATCTGGTTTCAAATGCTTGTCAGAGATTCACATTAAGAGGCATCTAGATCTAGTTCAAGATTAACTAAGTTAAGGCATTATGCAAGCATGTAAGGCTATGAGTTAAACTATATCTGTGGTTTCACTACATATGTATATGTATATATATATATATATATACATATGATGATCTTGTTCACTCAGTCTCTTGTTGCTATCTCATAGGTCCTCGCCAGCCTGAGGACAGTCCGAAGTAACTTTGCCGTCATAACCGACCAGCAAGATCGCACAGTCAGCAAGTAGGTTTTTCAGAAAATGTATGAAAATGAATATTCTAGCAATTTCACCATCGCACGTGACAAATATAACCATGCTGTGGTTACAGTGTGACTTTTGCATGCTGACTGTGGATGATCTCTGTCTACAGGATGCGATCCTCAGGCAGCAACCCGCCATCCATGTGCAAGACCAGCCTCGCAGGTCGGTACAGGTATTAGAGTGGGCTATCTACGAATCAATACCCCATTATCAACACTGACCCCGGTCAGAAAGACAGACAGACATTAGGACATTATCATGGTTGCATTTGTGAACTCTGAAATAGGTTACTGGTAACACGTCACAGTAATGAATTAGTAAATGAATGTCATTAAGATAAGATAAGATAATCCTTTATCAGTCCCACAGTGGGGCTATTTACAGGATTTTTTTGTTATTCACAAATACATGAAGTTCAGTGATGGTGGGGGAAGTAACATTATACGGTAAAGATGAATCTATAATTCTGCCATCATATTTTATAAGCTCAACATGTATCTTCAATGGGAAATCTCGATATGCTGAGTAAGGAGTGACGAAAGAGAAGTATAAAGTACCATGAAAAGAAATACTTGAGTAAAGTACAAGTACTTCACATTTGTACCTATAGTTACATTCCACCACTGATGAAATCTAACATTTGTTCTCTGTTCTCAAACAACAGGAACAGAAGATTCACAGCTCATTTTATGCTCCAGTTTAACAATCTTTTGGAAATCTGAACAGTATGTTCATGCTCTGTAAGACTTGTATCCTTCCCATAATGCTTTGCTGTGTTTGTCTGGTACAGAGGAGCCTCACCAGCAGCTGTCCATAGAGACGCTAGATGAGCTGGACTGGTGTCTGGAACAACTAGAGACACTGAAAACTCGACACTCTGTCAGCGAGATGGCTTCCAACAAGGTACTTCAACTTAATACGTTTACACATTACCAACCACCCCAAAGTGATAGACTGAACATACACACCTGTCACAGGATGAAAGGTAGATACACACTGCTCAGGGTAACATTAATAGTTCAAGGTTGCAGTGCAGTGTACTCGCTCTAATCTGTACTGTGATTCACCCCCCTGACGGATTTTATTAGTTATGTTCATCTTGTTGCCATTTTTGAGGTAGTTCGACTCCAGCTTAGCGACTTAACTTGTGGTGTAAATAGTTTCATTGATCATATTGAATACATTTAATTGGTGTTTCCCCTTTGAGATGAAATATCTCATCTTTTTTTTTATTTAAACAGACAATAAAAGCAATACATCGGACATCCGTTTTTCATTAACGGATAACAATCTTCTGCAGCCTAAATTAAAATGAGCTCCTAGTACATCACAAAGCCTGTGGATTGTGTGTGATGCACTGTACGTGCAGTTAGCCTTCACTGATCCCTAAACAAATCTGAAAGCTCACTAATACAGAGAATCCATCAAGAAAATATGAATAGAATCTCCCACCCGTCAGCGGATGGAAGCGGGGCTTATCCCATGAATGGGCGGGATTGCTTCATGCATAGAGACTAGACACACAGACACACTTTCCCCCCACTCATGTGCAAAAAAATGTTCATGAGGTAGTGGGAGGAGCTGGAGATGAAACGGCATCCCCCCCATCCGTTCTTCCTACGTGTATCCCTCTCCTCAGACTGGAGCCTGGTGCTTGTGTGATTCCATGATTGGACCGCCCACACAACAAGCACATGCTAACACACACACACACACACACACACACACTTCCTCCAATCATATACATGCACATTGCCTGCCTTGTCTATATGTTACATACATCATTGCCTGGATACATACACCCTGCAGATCAGTCAATTAGAAGCTTCAGTCCATGCTGGCGCTTTAGAATAAAGGCAGGCGCATGGGACACCGGAGTGAACACTGCCTCTGCATCTCTGACAAACTTATTAACACAATTTTGTTTAAAAACAGGACTTCTGAGAGAGAAGGGGGGAAGGGTGAGACATGCTCATTTAAGCCCATTCAGCTATTGACATAGCTGTTAATAGTCACCACCGCTGATTTGATTTGAAGCATTCTTTTATTCATTGCGGGCTTATTGTCAGACATCAACATATCAATGCCATTATGCTAAGGCCGTGCTAAAATATGTCTTCTATTTACGATCATATTCATGATAATGCTATATATATCCACATCTTTGTAGAACGTGTTGCACGGTTTTTATTTTTGGCTACATGAAGGAAATCCCCCCCCCTCCATCCATTCACAGCTTTTCCTTCATATCTTCAAACTTGGTGCACATGGTGTGTCTCACAACCTCCGCCTCTGACATAGTCAGCCCTGCCTACTTTGTGCATCTCCCCCACCAATGAGGGCCCTCGGTGTCTCCCGACCGCTCTCGCAGCAGTCGCCTGATTGGCTGCTATTCTTAGGCATTTTTGGAATGAGGCGGAGATTAGAGTACCTCGCTCTCCCTCTGTTTACACACATAGAGGAGCAGGCAGTAACTGAGTGAATGAAGTCAGGGGGAACGAGGGAGTGTGACTTCTCTGCCTTGCATCCTCGCATCCCACAGCATTCCCACAGTTACGCTTCCACACTCTTGTTCTTCCACGGACCTCTGAACAGTTTTCCATCTGTTCAGCTCGTACCGATGAAAGGTTCCACAGCACTAACCGGTGGACTGTCTGCTGGCTTTGGATTTTGCTCAGGCAAGCAGTATAGGAGCACAAATTGTCCCTGCTGTCTGTCGAAGCAGGCAGTGCCGGAGGACGACCAGAAAGCTCAGCTCTCTCACTCAGTTTTATTTTTGCTCCCATGCTTGACTTTGCGCTGAAATGCCAGAGGAGAGTTATTTCATCGCTGTGTCGTGGATGTTCATTCAGGTAAGGAGCGGCGAGGGACCAAGTGGGTGGGAGGGGATGAGACAGCTCGAGAAGTGAACAACTGGTAGTTGAGATGTGACAGTGGACTTTCTCTGAGACTCTAGACACCTTCAATTAGATTTGTAGATTTTTTATTTGATAAACTTGATCCACATGCATGTATGTGTTTGGGTGCAGACTACTACAGGTAAAATTAGCCATGCGTTTGTCTGTGTCCAATCATTACATTTTGCACCGTCTGACGTGAGACACATGCAAATGCTTCAAAGAAAGAATCTAGAACTTGTTGTTGTAGTCATTCTGGCTATGTTAACAGATGGTTAATGGTTCAACAAGTTTACATTTCTTCAAAGAGGGATTTTCCGAATTGGATTTTTTTTTTTGTTTGAAAGACAGATAATGCCTGTTTGATCTTTCCTAGTCCATCCGCATTTTAGCAAAAAGTGAGTGTGATCAAACTCATGGCTGCATGTGTGTGTGTGTGTGTGTGTGTGTGTTTGTCCTTAGTTCAAGAGGATGCTGAACAGAGAGCTCACCCAGCTGTCAGAAACCAGTCGTTCAGGGAACCAGGTGTCTGAGTTCATCTCTAGCACCTTCTTAGGTAAAATACCTTCACTTTACTACTCTACTTAAAGATATGTATCACATAATTTACATGTTTTGTGTTAAAGAGAAGTATTTCTAATGCGGTCACTATGAGACTGCAGTCTTAATATGTTGTCTTCATCTGACAGAGAAGCAACATGACATGGACATCATGTCTCCCCCCACCAAGGAGAAGGACAAGAAGAAGCGGCCCATGTCCCAGATCAGCGGTGTGAAGAAGGCCACCCACAGCCCCAGCCTCGCCCCCTCCACCATCCCTCGCTTTGGGGTCAATGCCAGCCAGGAAGGACTCCTAGCCAAGGTATGAGGACTAGTTCAACACTTGTTTATCTCTATTCAAATCATTATGCATTGTTTTTAAGATATTCTCCCTTGTATAGTATGTTGTAATGATATATATTTGCGATTATTGTCCACCGCCAGGAGTTGGAGGATGTTAATAGATGGGGTATTGACATCTTCAAGGTCTCTGAGTATTCTGGGAATCGCCCACTGACGGTCACCATGTACACCATCTTTCAGGTATCATTTGGTCCAGTAAATGAATGAACAAGACAGTAAATGAATGAATGAAGCAATGACGTAACAAAGACATTTCAATAAATGATTGAGCTTTAGCGTGACTTACCCTGTGTCCGATGTGTTGTTTCTCTCCTGCTGCTTCAGGAACGTGACCTGCTGAAGTCCTTTAAGATTCCAGCGGACACTTTCATTACCTTCATGATGACTTTGGAGGATCATTACCATGCCGACGTGGCCTACCACAACAACATCCATGCTGCAGACGTGGTCCAGTCCACGCATGTCTTACTGTCCACACCTGCTCTGGAGGTAGACACCCTAACTCACCCGTGACTAAGAGCAGATACAAACTTTATCATTATTAAAAGAAAACACTAGCATCTGTATATGTCCTGTCATGTTTAGCATACGCACTCACACATACACACACACACATTGACAGTCCCTGCCTTCTTGTGTTGTCCAAGGCTGTGTTTACTGATCTGGAGATCCTTGCCGCTCTGTTTTCAAGCGCCATCCATGATGTGGATCACCCTGGAGTTTCCAATCAGTTTCTCATCAACACCAGTGAGTTTGCATAGCTCCACAGGGATTATATGAATGTGTGTGAGTGCTGAGTGTATTGAACTATGCGGATGAGGTGCCTGTATACACGAGTCTGTGTAGAATTGTGCCTCTGCGTAAATGTATTTCCCATCCAGGTGGGTTAGAGTGCTGTCAGTAAAAGCACTTTTGTTTTGGCATTTTTGCTTTCAGACTCAGAGCTGGCCCTGATGTACAATGACTCGTCGGTGCTGGAGAATCACCATCTGGCTGTTGGCTTTAAGCTTCTGCAGGAAGATAACTGTGACATCTTTCAGAACCTCGGCAAAAAGCAGAGACAGTCGCTGCGCAAAATTGTCATTGATATGGTAGGACACCTCGGTCAAACCCTTGCGATTGCAGACTTGGTACTGTTTCTGTCTGAAATGTAACTCTGTTTTCTTCAAATCACCTCCAGGTGCTGGCCACAGATATGTCTAAACATATGAACCTCCTGGCAGACCTGAAAACCATGGTGGAGACCAAGAAAGTGACCAGTCTAGGAGTCCTACTGCTGGACAACTACTCAGACCGCATACAGGTGAGAACCATTTTATTCATTGTTAGAACAATGAATAAAATTTGTGTCATGTGACATCTGACACATTTTGCATCACTGCAGAGCACTTTAGCATCCTTCTGCTTAGTTTTGGTTTTTGCAGCCACTAACTTCACTGGTTTGGTTCAGTTTTCCCGCTCTAATCAACCATGATTCTAGCAGGCAGGTGTTTTTTTTTTTACGTACAAGCTCTAAAAAAAACACTGTACACCACCTACTCAGCCCCAAATGGCAGACAAAGCTTCAGCTAGCTGGTAAACATTGCTGCTAAAGAGCCAAATGTTTCCCTCGGGAGTTAGTTGAAACCAAACGGAACTCAAAGCAGAGTGAATAATGGACTTCAATCAATCAGTTGGCCAGAAACACGACTCCAAATCATTGTCTGTTGTACTTTTAAATAGGCAACTGCCGTCCAACAGCTCGCCACCACAACTTTACAAAGTGTTTACAGCTTTTTCTGCTGTCCCAAGTGACCGAAATACTATTCATACGGCTTTCCAGTATTAAGATTGCTTACATTTCAGTTTCACGGTGGAAAAAAACAACTAAAAAAGCTGAAAAGGAATATGTTTTTTTTCACTGCAGGTCCTTCAGAACATGGTGCACTGTGCAGACCTGAGCAACCCCACCAAGCCTCTCGAGTTGTACCGGCAGTGGACGGACCGCATCATGGTGGAGTTTTTCACCCAGGGGGACAGGGAGAGAGACAAGGGCATGGAGATCAGCCCCATGTGTGACAAACAAAACGCCTCAATAGAGAAGAACCAGGTACAGTATTGAAGCCGGATTACTTCATGAAATCTACTATAAATTATAATAAAGTCTGAAATTGAATGAAGACAATTTCACAAAAAAGGGACTTGAAGAAAAAGAGAAATGCTTTTATAGATACAAACCACTTCTTGCCTCTCTCTTTCAGGTGGGATTCATTGACTACATTGTTCATCCTCTGTGGGAGACGTGGGCCGACCTCGTCCACCCAGATGCTCAGGAGATCCTGGACACACTGGAGGATAACAGAGAATGGTACCAGAGCATGATCCCCCACAGCCCCTCGCCCCATCCAGAGGACCAGCAGGACGGAGCCCATGCCGGGGAATCCTCAGCGCTCAGTGGTGGCTCTATTTCGGCCGACAAGTTCCAGTTTGAGCTGACATTGGAAGAAGAGGGAGAGTCTGATACAGAGAGTCCACCTGAGGAAGAGGAGGGCTCTAGCGGCAGTAGGGGGCCTGAACTCTCCAGAACAGATTCTGGCAGTGGATTTGATGCAGTATCTGCTACGACTCTCCTGCTCACCAAAAAGCTCTCCACTGATTCAGACAGGACGTTTTCTTTAGACTCTGATAAAGATATGGCAGAAGACCGAGAAACAGACCAGGAAGGCGTCTCCGGGGTATCACGCTTCAGACTTGGCACATAGCACCTGTCAAAAGTTGTATTTCTTTTGGCCTTTTGTTTATTTTTCTCGATTTCGGTGCCTCCTCTGTCACTCCCCTTCTCCCGCTCCAACCAAGCTCCACCAACTCTAGTTTCTGCAGTCAGGGTGACAGCAAGCCTCGGGTTGGGGAGTGCACGTGGGTGTGGGGGTGTCAAGAAAGTCTGCAGTTTTACACAGCAGTCATTTCCACCGGAGGGAGACAGATAGACTGAGTCACTGTTCTAATAGAGGACCAGTCCTTTGTGGTCTGTGTCTCTCAGTCAGACATATACTGTGGATAAAGTTCTACAGACACGATCAGATGTTTAAAACAAATCTTTTACCAGCCAACTCAAGCTCTACTACAACAAATGACGGAGCTGTCTTCCTCTTTTGTGAAGGAAGTGAGGAAGTGATGAATGAGTGAAAAAAAATGAGTGAAAACACGACAACATCTTGTGAGACATCTTGCCAAACTTACAATTTACAGGGACAATGCTGCTTTGCCTGCTTTTTTAGTGTTTGTTTATTCTGTTATCTTTTATTTACGTCCACATGCAGTGAAATGCAGTAAATGAAGATACAGTAAATAGAAGACTTGTATAAGTGTAAGCAAAGTATTGGCAGAAAGGAGCTATGCCTGATTTTATGCAGGAAACTTTAAATGTAGCAGACTTTTTGAGTGACTCTATCATTATTATTGTATAAGTAGCACTCCTTTCAGCTGGTGTTGCACAGCCCATTTAATTGTGTTCAGCAAGCAGTAGTTTCAGAAAAACATGACTATAATAAAGTGGCTGGCAGAACATATTATTTTGAGATTTTCGGTTGTTTTAGGCTTATTATTTCCATTTTTATAATCCTTAACTATATATTGTTCAGCGACAAAACTGAGCCAGGGTCAGTGAAGTGTTATACAGTCAAGGAATTACATCCAAAGCAATGTGGGCTGTGCACATGGTGCCTCCCAGTGTTGACAAGTGGAACTGAAGTTCTAGCATTGGAGGTAAATAATTAGCAAGGTTTTGCATAGGCCTGTATGGAAAATACATTTAAAACGTATTTAACTGTAGGACTACCCAAAATATCAGTTATGTTTCAGTTTTATTTCTCTTAAATTTTTGTTGTTTGTTTGTTTTATTTCAAGTCACTCATTTTGACATTCTTAGTATTTGGCACCCATTTTATCAGTTTGCCTTCAAGTTATGCACTTTACAGTTTTGTTCATAACTAGCCCTCATTGTGGTTTTTAAGGGCTTGAGCCAAAACATGAACACTTTGGAGGCTGTTGACAAAAACAACAGCTTGTCCATCCATGGCTGTCAAGCAACCAGCACAGACATTATGCAAAAAGTAAATGCTGCAGTACAGCTGTGAATGCATTAAACTATCCATTGAAATCCATTTCCGTTACTACATAATGTGTTACTACACAGCATCCACCTACTAAAATGTCCTTTATGGAAACATTCACTTGCATACATTACTAGATGATAAGGGCAGTGTGTCGGAAGCACAAGGGTTGCAAAAAAAGAATGTTAGCATCGTTGTAACTGCAAAAATATAAAAATAATCCAGGAGACAGTTTCATATGGCAGATTTTTTTTTTTTTCATCTTTTTTCTCTCATTGATCAATATTTCGCTCTTCACAGGGACATAGTCAATGACAAAACAAGTGCCAAGCAAGCATGACACAACCCGTACTGTAATTTCCATTTTGCCACTGGCTACTTTCCATCAGTGACTGATAAAGTTGGTTGATTGTAGCGCCCTGTGTGCCAATCTGACCCGAGTGTCTGTTCCTTTTTTTTCTAACTCTTTTCCTTTTTGTTCAAACAGTAACTGAAACTGACATTTTCTTAAAACAGTGATGTGTTTTATGCGTGTGCGAGTGAATGACTGGGTCGACTTTTTTTGATGTATTTGCTAAGAAAAAAACCAAAGCACTTTGTACGGTACTTTTACAGTTCTGCACTTCCAGTACAGTTGAACATGTATGGTGACTGTTTCACTGTTTGTTTTTTTCTGTTGGCAAATAGCCTGGTGGTTGAGTTGAATTGCACGGGCTGGACCACTACAGCTCTTAAAGGTCAGATGTTGGAGGGACTGAAGTTCTTTTTTATAATTGACTGCACACAAAAAAATGTGTTTTGTTGAAATGCATGACATTGGCTGCAGGATTTAAAGAACTTTTTTTTGTATTACCATGAAACAGAGTAAATCATGTGTTAATTAATGTGTGAACAAGCTGAAAAGTTTTTTGACGCCTTATTTTCAAACCTGGGATTTTTTTTTTTCTGGTCATAGATGTGTTCACTGTCATGCTGGATTAAACATGTGCAATCCTTTCTGTAGCCATAAACAGCACCACACAGACCAACACTCAAGGATGCCTTCAACATTAAGGTCTATTTAACAACTTAACGAGCACAACATGCGAATATTCAGTCTGTCTCTCTGCATGTCACTGTTTGATTTTGTGTATTTTCCTCACAGTTCTTCGTGTACAGTTTATTTATTATTTCTATATTATCTGTCAGAATCGATGGAACGGTAGACTTCTTTTAGTCTGAGGTTTAGTATAGATTGATGTGTAGAAAGTCACACAGGACATATTTCGACTATAACTCAGCTTTTTTTCCTTTTCATTACTTTATTGTCTGCAAATAACGTGATACATAAGCAAAAATACTCACTTTCATTTTTTTCTTGGTATAAAAATAGTTTAGTGGCAGATTTCCGTATGAGTTTTCTGAAACATCTCTCATCTCCTGTCTTCCTCAGTTTCCACTGATCTGAACAGATCTTACAGTAAGACGTGTTTGATTCACAGCGAAGATAATATAGTCACACAGCGTCAAGTCATCCTAGATCTGTATTTCCGTTCTTAGAGATAATAGAATGAGGATCATGAACTAAAGACTGCAGCTTTGACAATCCAAACTGTTAGCCCTCTCTCCAACTAGAACTGTATGCCTTGCCAATAAAAGAAAAAGTATTCACTCTTTGAAGTCTTGTTCTCTGCTTTTACGAGGAAACTAAATAATAAATAATGGTACTGTCTTAACAAGCAGCAGCCTGCTGATGGGAATCTTGTCTTTTTATTCCACATCATTCATTTGATAGCTGTAGTTATTAAACACATAATGAATTTATAGATTAAACAACCCAAGGAACATAAGCAAAGTGTCAATACCTCAACCAACGTCAACACTATATGCTGCTAATGTGTTTATGCATCTGTAATAACAATCCAATAATATAATATTTATGATAATATAACACTCTGAAATGGACCATGAGTATAGTTTGCTGGTCAAACCACTATAACATTCAACATCAGACTTGTTTCTGGTATTTCACCATTTACTCACCACTACTACATTCTCTATCTATTCTCACAAATAAAAATGAATAAACACCTATGAAGAATTTGCAGAATGGGTGGGGGCAGGGCTCCGTGTGAATGAACGGATGCTCTTCTCTGATTGGTCGACCGTCCTGCCAGTCATCCTTACGCTCTGTTTGTACCCGCTTATGCCGGGGCTGTCAATCAAGAGGCACACGAGCTATTGCAGGTGCAAAGCTGGATTGTGGGCTAGTCGCTGCTGAGGATAAAACACACCGCTCATGGTAAAACTCTGCGCTTATTTCTCATTGCAGGGCCAAGTTAAGTCTAACAGCTTGCAACGGAGTTCATTCGGGCTGTTTGTCGCTTGTCTTATGACAGAAAATGTAGTCGTAAACAAGGAAGAGTAACCTTCATTTGACATAACGTTAGTTGGGATGCTTGGCTAGCTGCTTCTTCTAAATACTGGTAACGGTCTGCTGTGTTAGCATTAAAGGGAGCGATGCTCGCCTAATTGCATGCGTTTACAAAGACTACAACTTGCATTTATATCTGTGTATCTTTCATGTCTTTAACGTTTGATATTTATTATAAATGGTAGCTGAGTAACGTGTGACATAACTCCTTGTACGGTTTTTTTTTAACGTGTTTTTCTCCAGCTAACGTGAACAAGCAGCTAGTTTAACGTTATATCTCTGGCAAGCTAACGCTACATAAGCTCCACTATGGATAAGGATGTAGTTCAGGCCGTTTAAATTGGGAGCATGTTGTGTTCACAAACTGTTAGGTGGCACTTCCAGGCGTGGCCCGTTTGTCTGACATTCTCTAATCTACTACAAGGTAAATTCTGTCCAACCATATGGTCATTCATAATTGGTCCGTGCAGGTTTCATGCCGTCCTAATGGGAAAGGATCGGTATCTTATCTGATGCTTAGCCTGCTAAGCTGTGGTACTTCCGTGCTCTTATCTTGTGTGGCGGAGGTGGGCGTTCCTTGTCTGACCAGTGTTATTGACATGAAGTGGAAACACTCACGGCTGTGTGAGCATTGGTTGCAGGTATTGACACAGCCTCCTGGCGAAACGGCTGCATACATTGTATTCCTTGATAATGTCATGACACGGTTTGGGAGTGTAACCTGGCGTCATACAACAACCGGTAATTACTGATAAACCCCATCCCAGGTTAAATGAGGCTGCCATGTGGATTCAGATGGTCTTCCTCTGGTCTGTCTGAAGAATAAAGATGATCTGTTGGTCTGTTCTCTGTGCATTAGTTCCAGGGTATTCCTCACAGATGTGCCCCAGTGTGGTCTGTTATTTTGGAAGAGAACAAACCAAACTGATTTTGTTAAACAGTCTAGTAAATTAGAAACTTAGGTATTTGACAGCTGCCAGGCTGATGCATGCTCTCTGTCTTGTCTTTATTTCTCAGACTTATTGTACACCTTTTTAACCTTTGACATAACGCTAGATGTATTGTATTATGATATTTTAATAACTAGAGGGCTTTTGTGTTATCAGGGGTTGGTCTTGTTTATCCTAAAGTCATTAGGCTTTCATGTTTCTTAAATGTGCTGATCTCTAATTTTATTTTTTCCATCTATAGACCAGCTGAACCACATTGACGAAAGATGTGGTAATCTGTCACATGTCCTAAACTTCAACAGCAGTATTATGTAAAACGTTTCAAAGGCAGGATTTTTTTTAAATTTTGATCATTTCAACCAAACATAAACTGTTTCATCCAGTGACAGGGGAATTGTGTATGACACTGTATCTACAGGGAGTCACAGTGCCTACCTACTCTGATATAATAAAATACAACAGCTCTACCTTTGTAGATTTATATAATGTCTAGTTTTTGAGACACTGTCGGGGAGCCTTTGTGACAGTCACTTGTGGTGGTGATGTTTTATTGGGTTGTATTAAGGTCTTTCTTTTTTGATTAATGTGAGATCTCAATCCTTGCATAGATGGCGTCTGCAAATGCCACATACGGACAGGAGTCCTCGGACCAGAACTTTGATTACATGTTTAAAATCCTCATCATTGGCAACAGCAGCGTAGGAAAGACATCCTTCCTCTTCCGCTATGCAGACGACTCATTCACGCCAGCCTTTGTCAGCACAGTGGGCATCGACTTCAAGGTGAAGACCATCTACAGGAACGACAAGAGGATAAAGCTGCAGATATGGGTGAGGAAGTGAACATACACATGCGTGTAGACGTGGGGGAGCTAGTGGATCGCAGTTGCTTCACGGTAGCTGACATTTTACTCCGAACTCCTGACGAGTTGTGAAAAGGAATTGAAAACTCGCATTGCTTTGCTCGTTGCTGCTTTCTGCTATCTTTTTGTCTATAGCCACACTTTATTTTGCATTACATAATTACTACCAATGCAACAATCAAATGTTTTCTCTGTATCTGCTGATACATGAGGATTTCCTTCCATAATACAGTGACACCCTTAGCCAAAAAACAGTATGATTGGAAAAAGAGTTCAGATGCATGTGAGAGCTGAATAGCTATAATTTAAAGGTACAGTGTGTAGGATTTAGGGAGATTTACTGGCAGTAATCGAATATAACATTCATAACTATGTTTTCATTGTGTATTATCGCCTGCCACTAAGCATTGTTGTGTTTTCATTACATTAGAATGAGCTGTTTATATCTACTTAGGGAGCGGTTCCACTTTACAGAGTCTGCCATGTTGCACCGCCATGTTTCTACAGTAGCCCGGAACGATGCAGCAATGACACCCCCGATACAGTATTAAGTATATAAGACCGCAACTAACGATTATTTGAATTATCGATAAATCTGCTGATTATATTTCTCTAGTAATGGTTTTGTGTCTAAAATGAAAAATATCTATTTCAATATCTCAAAGTCCAAAGGAACGTCTTTAAATGTCTTGTTTCGTCCAACCAACAGTCCAAAACCCCAAAAATATTCAGTTTACAAATAGAAAACACTGAAAAGCAGCAAATCCCCATATTGGAGAAGATGCATCCAGATTTTGCCATTTTTGCTTGAAAGGTGCCTCAAACAATTAATCAGTTATCAAAAACATTGTATATTAATATTCCATCGATTAAATAATCAACTAATCGTTGCAGCTATAAAGTACTTTTAATTGAACAGAATGAATGTAAATTTTGTTTCTACCTGCAGACCGTCTTTAGTAAGAATGCGTGTTTTTCACGCTGCCCCATCGCATCTGGGACTGAAGCGGTTTCTGTTTCCATGTGTCTCTAATGATTCCCAGCTGCCCCCAGAATAACTTCATCTGCTGTGTAATGGCAATACCCTTGAAGTGTTCTTAACATGAGCCATACAGCCTGACCCTGGGACCAATTGCTTATTACGTGGGGGAGGACAGCAGAGGAATGCCTAATGGTCATGGGAGTTTGGCTTGATGTTAAACCTCCGCAATCATCAGGAGGCACGTGCATAAGGCATAAATCCTTTGCGGGTGCTGGGAGACAATGATCTGCACAAAAAGACAAAAAAATCCCATTGCTTATTTAAACCTACATGGCAATGTTTAGACCACAACCCGAGCAGGAGCGTCTCTGGATCGATGGAAACCTTGTCATGTCCACGAGACAAATATATATTTACTCAAAAATATTTCTCAATTTAAAAAAATGATGGTATTTGTGTAGGACACTGCTGGCCAGGAGCGCTACAGGACAATCACCACAGCTTACTACAGAGGAGCCATGGGCTTCATCCTCATGTATGACATCACCAACGAGGAGTCCTTCAACGCCGTCCAAGACTGGTGAGTGACACTTCTATCTCAAAAAGAAGTTAACTAGCAGGAATGATGATTGTATAAAAAAGATAGATTTTTCTTTTCTCAGCAGCAAAAGCATGTGTGTTAATCTATTGTAGTACTGAGCGCTCAGTGCTTTCTAAAGACTTTAACATCTAAGAGAAAAGATGCTTGTGAGACTCAGTCAGACGCTGTAGCTAAACACCCTGTACTGTGTCTGCTAACAGGTCGACCCAGATCAAGACGTACTCATGGGACAATGCCCAGGTCCTCTTGGTGGGGAACAAGTGTGATATGGACGATGAACGAGTGGTGGCCTCAGAGAGGGGCCGACAGCTGTCAGAACAGCTCGGTAAGTCAGCTGGTCACGTAAAAACTAGAGGACAGGTTGCTTTTCCTGTCCTCTGCTCGGTGCATTAATGAAAATGATATATAATCGTGACCATATAATAACGTTGCTGTATATGTTTTTAAACATTAGTAAAATTGACAATATTTGGGTTGTATTTGGACAAGGGGGGGATTTTTGTTTATTTTAGAGGTTGTGTTTTATAAACAAATGTCCTGTTTAACATCTATAGTTGGCATACTGTATGTCATCATGATTCAACTTTTCTTCTTGCCACGTTACATAATTTCCATGTTTAAAACTGATGTTGCAACAATTCAGGCTGAAGTAATTGTAAATAAAAGGCAGCTGTGAGCCATACTAACATCCTTCTTAACTATCAACTATATTTTATTTTTAGCACAAGTCTGACTATCAGCACTTCAGTCTTCGTAAGGCAATGATTTATGTTTTAGTCGAGCTAGCTTTCTTCTCTTCCTGCTGGAACATGTAGCATCAAAAACACATCGCTCTGGGAGTGATCCGAGTGGTCCGACTGAGTCATAGTATCACATGTAACTAACAGTAATTGGACTTAATCTCAGTATGATTCAGTATGGTTTAAGTATGATCTGTAAAGATAAACTTACACAAATCTGATACGGAGGGATCATTGTTGATGTTTGAGCTGCCTGTCTGACCATATCCTGGATGTGTCCAACATGATGAGTTAAGTGGATTAACCAGGTTATAAGCGTAACCATAGCTCTGTCTCTCTCGCCCCTCCGCAGGTTTTGAGCACTTCGAAGCGAGCGCTAAAGATAACATTAACGTGAAGCAGACCTTCGAGCGGCTGGTGGACATCATCTGTGAGAAGATGTCAGACAGTCTGGACAACAACGACCCGACTGTCACCGGCTCTAAACAGGGACCGCAGCTCACCGAGCAGCCACAGAGGTCCACTCAGGATTGTGCATGCTAAACATGACCCCACACACACACACACACACACTGTCTGCTGTCCTAAAATCCTCACAACTTGTTTTAGGTTTGTCTCTTACTTTCTTTTCATTCTCATACACACAGTTATTTCACACAGACACTGGCACACAGAGAAACACAACCTGACGTCTTAGACTCTCCGCCCCTGTCGCTACACCAAGAGCATCGTCCACATTTCAGAGATACAGAGATTATGTGATGGTGCTAACTTAGTTAGAGGGGTGAAGAAGAAATAACAGAGGTACAATCCCAGCTTGTCTTTCTTTCTTACTTAAACATGTTTATTTACACACACACACACACACAATCCTTATCTTAACAGACTTATAAAAGGCCGGTTAAGGCTGAAACTCCATCATTCCTTGTTGACGTGTCTGCAATTGGGTTTTACTATAACAGGATGTGGATCCTCCAATCACAGGCCCCACTCAGCACTAACGCCTCAAACCTAAATGGATACAAATTAGTTTTACTTTCAGTCACTTTGAAAATATAGGTTTGTTACCGTGGATAGCGTTGCTGTTTTTTTAAAAACATTTTTAAGTTAGTTGGGTGTGGTTTTGAGCATGTGAAATCACCGGCCCTCGTCAGTGTTGTGATTGAGTTTCTACAAATAGTTACGCTCAAAGTTTGATGTCCAGACGGAGTCATTTGAAAAAAATCTTTTAATTTTAGGATTAAATATAAGAATAGCAGAGGTGATGTTTATCAGCTGCTGGTCAACTTATTCTTATTCGTTTTCATTTTTGGCCCCTTTCCCCAATTTTTTACTTTTAGTGAAATTGGATGGCAGTGTCGGTACTTTTTTGTAACTATTTTTTAAGACAATCGACAGAATAGAAAGATAAGGGATGTCCCAAATTGAGAAGAGTGTATAAATGTTTAAACGTCAATAGATATGCATATATAATATATACAAACATGAATAAGTATATTATACAATAATGATTTAGGGTATTGGGTTCCTACGTGTGCTTTCGTGAGAGGTGCATGATGTTGTTTCAAGCGATTCTGGTTTATCGGATGGTTATTTGTATGAGCTGCTGTCCTACAGTTTCAGTACTTGGAGGTATCAAATGGTTCTAAAGGTTCCACATGTTAAGCTCACAACCCCCTTCTCATTGTATTTACATGTCATTCACTGCACACAGCGTGTAACATGCACTCACTAGAAAGGCATGTGATTCAGTGTGAGCGCTGCTATACCACAGACCTCTACATCAACTTCAGATAGTCACTTATGTCGTGGTGGAAGATATTTTCATCTCCACGTTATGGGGGAACCTTATGTTTTTAAGCATGTTAAATGTCAAATTGTGAGTTCTCTCTCTGATGCTACGGATCGGGATTTGTCTGCTCGTGTAATACAGTACAAAATCGTATGTAAGTCATGCAAGGCATGCGGAAATATTTTCAACATTTTAAGTTATTTCAAAATAAAGCTTATTTATTTTGTATTATTTATAACTTCATTTACTTTTGAGATGATGTTCTTCCTAGATTATGCATTGCAGTCTGCACCATACTTTTTAAAGGAGATGTTCAATAGTATTCGATTGCTTAAACTCTAGTTTCCAGTTTAAGAGTCTCTTATTATATCAGCACAGCTTTGGTGGGAAGTTTGTTTGTCTTTTGATATCAGTTATGTAACTTCCAAGACTTGGTAGTGTAAAAGCAGACTGTTCTCTCAGAGCAATAGGAGTCATTTCTCTCCACACCCAAATATGAGCAATGTACTATCCTGCTGAAGGTTTGTAATGTACGCGGGTTAGCGAATGTACAGTTTCTGTAAAGGCTTAACAATTGTTCTTTCTGAAGTCATCTCAACATTAGACTTTTGTGAGACTTGCACTAACGTGTGCGGTAATGTTTTCCTTCTCTGTGCAGGAGTTTCAAAGAGGGAAACTGGGAAGTAAAGGGAATACTCTGAACACTTTGTTAAAACGCTGATTCTTACTGCAGTGGTTCACTTTTGACTTTTGTTACTTTATTTATTGTGTTTTGCTACAGATGTAAACTTGCCAGTGACTTAGGAACACTTCTCGATCCTGTTCAGCTCTCCTCCTCTTCTTCTTCCTCCCTCCCCATAAATAACTCTTGTAAATAGGACTTTTCTGCCTGTCGGCTATTAGTTGTGTGAATTGTGCTGTAATTCTGTAATGTCAGATTTGCTAAAATGAGGAATCAATAAACAAATTCTAAAAGCTGCGAGTTGTACGTTGGTTCCAACAATTATTTACAAAAAGTGCACATGTGATGTTAGAGAAAAAGGTTCAGAGTAGGTTGTATTTTGCCCAGCAGAGGGCACGACGCTGCAATAATGTCTTGTTTACCCTCAGAGTTGTTTGACCATCTATGGTTTGGTTCAGCTTTCCCCCACTGCACTTAACACAACACTCACAGTGCCAACTGTAAAATAGAAGACACATGCAAAGTTATGAATTCTAGCAAATGTTCCTTTGAACTAAATAAAGCAAGCAGGGCCTCCCGCTCAGTAAGAAACAGAACACGTGAGCTTTAGTAATGTAGTGAATTTAATAAATGTCAGGTAGAGACTTGAGAGTCCATTACACATGGGTAGATAGGGGGGGTTTCTCAGCACGTACACATACATTCATGGACGTTTGGTGACTGAAGAACTACACAGCAGCCACCATAATGAAAAATACAATAGTTACTGTACACAAAAGCAACAAGACATGCAGTGTTCATTTTTGCAACAAAAGAAAAGAAAAAACGAGAAGTAAGACCATATGTAAAATAAGAAATATTTCAGTAAATAAAATATATATTTGTCATTACTAAGTGCTTGTAAACAAGTAAGGCATTATATTACACATTGGGTGACAGCACTTGGTGACACCCTGGTGTTTGGTTGCACTCGTCTTGAGATTGTCCCGCTTACACGCATATAAACGCTATCCCACACCAGCAGTTTGCTACATGGCTTCCCAAATAAAATGAGGGCAACAAAATAAGTCGGTTTGCTGCATAACACTGCCAGATGTTCAGGAATCAGAAGAGGCTGGCAGGCCACACCTGCTGCTGGCTAACCTGTCATTATTCCAATAGACTTGTGGCTCTCATCAAGGTCCGTGTTTTGCACTGTGCTGTGCAAATGTCTTCTGTTCCTCAGTTACAGGCATGTTCTTACAATGGCCTCATATCAATTCTCTGATAAGGATTTTGTGTTACAAAAGGCAAATGTTCCGCTTTATACAGGCCTGCATCCTCGGCGCATACTTAAGAGCCGTATAAACATCCATGAAGAGCTCCATTACTGGCATTTAGTAAGCCTGGACCTGGTTTGGTAAAAGCTGACATCCGCTGCTGACATGGTTCATCACCTTCTGCTTCAGCTGGGCCACTTGATCCCTGAGGACGCTGGCTGTGGAGGCCAGCTCGGTGTTTTGCGTTTTCAGGTTCTTGACCTTGTCCTCCAGCCGAGAGATCCTCTCCAGTTTTCTCTTGCGGCATTTGGAGGCGGCTATCCTGTTCCGCAGCTTTTTCCTCTCCGCCTTGATGCGCTCCTGGTTGTCCATGTCAATAGGAGACAGCGGGGGGCTGTCCCCGAAGCTCTGCATGTCTGGTACAGTCTGAGGCTCGTCCTTCACCAAACCGGCAGATTGGAGTCGAGACAGAGCGGCCGCGGCAGCCGCCTGTTGCTGCGCGCTGACCAGATGAGGCGGAGGGAAGGGGATGATGTCCGTGGAGTAGTTGATGGAGGTGGCTCCGAGCGGACTGGCCGCATAGCCGTTCAAAGTAGTGTAAACAGGAAGGTCTGATGCCTGGAGCCCGCCGGAGCCCACTGCGTTGGCTGATCCGAGGAGCTCCAGTCTGTCCACGGAGACGCACCCCGCCTCGCTCAGCTGATTCTGCTTGTGAAGATCCTCCAGCGCCTTGACGAAACCTTCCGCGAACTCCTGCTCGTCACTGGCGGACTTCGGGTAGAGGAAGTGGGAGGCCGGGTTGGCGGTGGTGACCAGACCGTTCGACTGGATGATAAGGCGCTCCAGGTCCGGAGTGGTTAGCTTCAAGAGCCCCAAGTCCGGGGAGTTGAGGAGTCCGTCTGTGTCCCGGAGCGGGTTTGATTTGAGCTCGGAGTTGTGGTCGTCCAGGTTCAGATTAATGTCCTTCTTCATCATCGTGCTCTGCGAATAGATGCTGAAGAACCTCGGAGTGTTCACGGTGCCTGGGTAGAGGGTTGTTTCCATTCTACACCCTCACATGAGGGAGTGTTGAGCGTTACGCATTAATGATCTATCAGCAATCCCAATCCAAACATGAGGAAATCAGCTGATCCTGTTTCCTCTTCCCCTTTTTACGTATCAGTCACGCTATCAGTCGACCACTTGTGCTGTTGTGCCTGAGGGGCTCTGATGTGTCTCTTCAGCGCGCGAATGATATTGTCTTTTCCCGATGGCACGGCTGCTATGCGCAGCGCCAGACCTCGATCGCTTTCTAGCCCTAAAAATTCCATTATGTCACTCCAGAGCGCGGAGATTGGCCCAAAATGACGTTGGTTTCCGGTTCAATTTGAATAAGGGGCCGAACCGGTCTTTATTGCCATGGAGACTTTAGGTAAACTACAAACAGTGCAATGCATTGTGGTTTGATGTCATAGCATAAAAAAGCACAGGCTCGCCAAAAGAGAGCAGAGACTGGGCGGGGAAGGTGTAAGAGGCGAGAGGAAAGAACAGAGGAACAGGCCTTACCGAACATATTCCTTCAACTAAGGCACTTTTAAAAGACTTAAAGAATATAATAGAGTATTATAATCAGCTTTATGTAACGTTAGATTGTATTCTACATAAGTTTAACACACAAGTTAAGTGTAATCTTGTAGCCTTCTATTCCATAAAACGAGGCTATAGGATCCGGAGCGAGACATCATTTGGTGTTAAATTATGTGTTAAAAACTAAATTCATATTTTATTCCACTTCATCAGCCTTCTAACACTAACCGCGCGAACACCTCTTGTTCCAGTACTTTAAGGATCAATGGTCACACATCAGCCCTCACACAAGACCAAGAGAATGAAATGAGGTGATACAACGTGTAAGTGCTCTGAAAGTGTTTCTGGGGAAACTGAGCATACTCTAGAAAAAGGGAAGGAAACAGTGACAGTAGAATGAGGAAACCATATTTTTTCTATGATTGAAAGTAGCATGTGGAAATTGGTTAAATCATGGCTGGTGGATCTTGAGCTATCTCAGTGTCTTCATTTATGCCATTTGTTCCATAATAGGCGAAAAGATTTTATTTTCACAACGATGTGAAATCTCAACATATGCATTCGTTCTGATGAAATTAAGGAATACAATATTACAGAAATAGAACATTATAAAGCAGAATGCACGTAATTAATTAAATAGAACAGAAAATAATAGAATAGATAATTGTATAATAGAATATAGCATCATAGAAGAGAACAGGAAATAATAGAACACAAATAGAGAATATAATGAAATGTTATAAAATACAATAGAACAGAATAGAAAAATAATAGGTTAATGTAAATCATTATAGAATAGGACATTAAATGATAGAGCAGAACAGAAAACAGTAGAATATAATAGAATAGAATAGAAAGAAATTAAAAGAGACAAATATAGCATACATTCAGTATGCATTGTACAAGGCATTGAGTTTTCCTGTGGTGGAAACTAGTAGAATATTGTTATTCCGCCCCTTCACAGCGAGGACGTCAGCAGACGGTCTGCATCAGCACCACGGAGCAGAGAGGGCATCATTAGTTTCCATGGCAACGCTGACATAGCAAGTGACGCAGGCGAGATGGAGAGAGGAAGGTGAACGGGTTGAGGGAGAAGAGGGGGCTGTTGGCGACTGCAGTGCAGGTTGTGTAGGTGGTTGGTGGAGGTGTTACAGTGTGTGTGATGTGGTTCAGAGGCATGAATGAGAGACATTTGTTTGAAACATTAACCACAAAAGACTCTTCCAAGAAAGAAAAAAGATCTCCACCCTATGGAGAGCATATTTTCTTGTGTGCCAGTTTGGAGCCACATAGGGTGCAGTGTCCAGAATGTGTGAGTCATTTCACAACAAGGGTGTGGACGGCACCGCGAATGAAGAAAGTGGCTGTTTGGCACTATTAGATTAGCTCTGCCTTCATGACAACAAACTGGGGAGAAGGTTTGTCCTCTAGACTCAGGTAATGGAGTGTGTCAAAAGGTTGTGTAAGGTACAACTTCCCCTCCACAGCCAGAGAAGTGTCCTTTGACTTTAGCTCCCCGGGGATAAGCCAACAGGACATTGCATGTTGAGCAACGCCCTGTGTCACTCTGACGCTGTTAGACTGCATACATTCACACCTGGGAGCCACCCAGTAAAACCACTAAGCTGCTCAACTGGAGCAGCTGGTTGGAGGTTAAATGCTTGGGCAGTATCAACAGTTCTTATTGATGGAGGGGAGGTTGTTTTTCATTCACTTCAGCTGGCCACTCACAAGGCGGCTTCTCTAACCTTTAATCTGTGAATGCAGTGCAGATGCTTGGTTTTCATTTTCAGCACACACATGTCTTGAATTACATTCTATTGCATTAAAACGGTTGGATTAAAAGGATCAGTTTTTATCCTCCCCTGTCGTCTTTCCAAAAAAATGTCTTGTGCTGCATGTTGAAGAAACACAAATTCCTGAGTCTTCCTTTGTTGTTGTTTTTTCTTCACTTCATAGCCAAAGGCGTTAATGTGGGATGAACTGCTGCTGACGATTGCACCCCCATACAGTAGATGGCAGTATGATCCACCCAGATCTGGTGTGTCACTTCCTTTGAGCCCTGAGCCAGAAGAAAACAGCAGCAAGCGTAGACAATCCTGGGATTCTTGCGTGGGGTATTTGATCCCCTTATTATACATCAATGACAATTTTTGTCATAACAACCAAGGATAATGGCCAATAAGAAGAAAGTAATAGTAACAGGTGAGAGGTTTTAATTGGTGAGAGGACTGGAGAAGACACATGTGTCTTAAAGGATTTCTTTGTTGTCAATACAGCTCTTAGAGTTTTCTGCTTGTGTCTGAGCTGCACTTTAATGGTTGTGTTCATATTGTAAATATGTAATGACACTGATGTTTGCAGAGCGCTGCTGTGAGGAGAGCAGGGTTTTGTGTGCTGGTTTTAGATAACAAAGGTTTTTAAACAAAGATGTGCATCAGGAAGGGATTGAATAACAATATATGTAATTTTTTTTTGCTGCTTAACTGCGAGAAATAAATGATTCTGTGCCTCTAGTACAATTAATGTTTAACTTGCACCCTTTGGACTTTGAATTAAGAGTCCTTTTTTTACATTCACCCTTATCGCATATGTCCAAAACAGATAAGCATCTTCACTGACTTTATTGTTTACTTAGCTGCACTGTGTCTCTTTGCTGCAGTAAAGAATCATGTTGCTGCTCTTTTCTGTGCAGGTTTTGAGCCTTTTGGAAAGCATGCAGTGAACTCCAGCTGGGTGGCAGTACAGGTAATCAGTACCCATCTTGTCCATTTTTAACAAAGGGGGCAGTTAAGGATTTTTTATCTAAATATGACATTTAAATAGTACATTTCATAATGAGCAAAATGCACTTAAAGTGGAATTTTTGTCAGGGGTTTTTCCTCACCTGATTAAGGGGTTGTCATTTAGTTTCATTGTGGACATTTAAAACCTTTTAAGACTGCAATTAAATATATATATACAGTATATATATATAATATATATGTTTTTTGTGCTCAGGAACTGGCTCGATTGGGGCTGGGTGAAGCAGTAGACCTTCATGTGTGTGAGGTGCCTGTTGAATACCAGGCTGTTCAGAGCCTACTGCCATCTCTGTGGAAAGAGCATGAGCCACAGGTATTCAATAAAATACATAATACTGTACATGGAAAACCCATTTTTCCATCAAAGGTTGTTAAAATCCATCAATCAATTTAAAAAAACAACCTCTGCCACCTCTGTCTTTTGGGGTCCTGTGAGCAGCTGATGGTCCATGTCGGTGTTTCTGGGTTAGCCACCACTGTCGCTCTAGAGCAGTGCGGCCACAACAAGGGCTACGAGCGCCTGGACAACTGCAGCTTCTGCCCAGCTTCCCAGTGCTGCATGGACAGCGGGCCCGACTGCATCCGCTCTGTCCTGGACATGGATACAGTCTGCGAGAGGGTCAATGACTCCGGCCTCGGGGTCACTGTTTCTGTCTCTAAGGATGCTGGAAGGTAAGTGATGTGATTTACACACACTCTACTTATCATAGTAGGAAAAACACAGGTGTTACTAATAACATTAGTGATGGTGATTCATTATTTAAGTGTCCAAGTATGACATGCCAGTGAGACGACGAACAAAATAGGCCCTTTACACAGCAGCCATTTTGACATGTCATGGTGGGGTAAACACAGGTGTTATTAATAAAATTAATGATTGTCCCGTTCTATTTAGTGTGTCACAGCACACACTATACCAGCGCCGTGAAACCTAAATATAATGAATTTATGTTATTAATTACACCTGTGTTTACCCTGCAACGACACGTCAACATGGCTCCTGAGGAAATGTCCCTATAAATGAAAGCAGCTGAATGGAATTCAACCGTCGTTCATTTGAATATTTTCATGTCAAAATGTCTGCTGTGAAAGGACCTGTTGGTTCAAACTAAAATTGTGTCTTGTATTGTTTTTAGACCTCTATTTTATAATGAAAAACAGAAAGGAAATACAATAAATGAAAATGTAAGTTATTTAAATTAAGTCTGTGGAAAAACCACATGGCCAGTAATAACAGTAGTGTTGCTATTGTTGTTCTGTGTATACAGGGAAATATATTAGTATAATGCAGTCAATGATAACATGATTTCCTACCCTCAGCCAATTAAACATTGCATAGCTTCTATTTCCATGCCTGTTTTGAATACGACCATAAACTTGTAATGTATGTACTTGTAAGGACAACATAGAGGTCTGTTTATTCTATATTAAATATGCAATAAGTTTGTTGTCTTCTGCTTTTTGGTCTGTGGAATTTGGTTTAAGTAACAACATCTTTCACTCATATCATACATATCGAGGCCTACAGTTACGAGTTGACAGAAGGTTTTACACTGAATACTTGCAAATGTGCATGATAATTGAGGTTGTCTTATGACTCGTTTTCAAATGTCTTAACAGCCTTTATTATTTTGCAAAGTCGGCTCAAAGCTTTTGTCACATCCATGTTCCTTTAACTTTCACGTCTGTTTGGCAAAGTGTGATAACACAGACTTTACATAACCTGACATCCTTCCTTGGCAGGTATCTGTGTGACTACACCTACTACACCTCTCTGTACTTGGGGCAGGGTCACTCTGCCTTCATCCATGTGCCTCCACTTGGAAAACCCTACAGCAGCCAGGACCTGGGCAGAGCTCTCCAGGCCGCTATACAGGAGATGCTGAAACTGCTGGAACTGGATCACAAACACAACAAGCACTGCAATCACAAGCACGAACACCAGCATGAGCACTACTGAGTTCTAGTGCAGCGAGTGATGAACCAAGATCGTCAACCGTTAGCTCCAGAAAAGAATGACGTGAGTTTCACGTTTGTTGTCAAAAATAGGAGATTGTGTCTGAATTGGGTGCTTTTGACTGTTGCATCAATTCCAAATTGTAAACCATGTGTTGTATCTTTAAAAACGTGACGGTTTTACAAGTTTGATTACAGCATCTGTTTATTGTAGACCTGGTCTGGGTCTTTGCATGAATGGGTTTGAATGAGTGTGCAGGAGTGGTGGGCATCCGTAAGTGTCGGTCATGTCTCTACAGTTCTGCCTCTGATAAGACTGTGAAAATAGATGTCAACAACAATTATAAACGTACAAACATTGTATCACGTGAAAGGGGGATTTATGTGACTAAGATATACTAGTAGTATTCACAAGGTATTAGCTGAAACTACAAGTTATATATGTTGAAACACTGTGGGAACATTTACTGTTACACAAACTGTTTGAGTCACATCCTTCCCCTGCCACCCGTGAGTGTGTCCGCTCACTGATTTAAGTTTTTCATTTTTCTCCAGTCAGTATGATTGATGCTGCCATTCCCTTGCATTGCTTGTATTTGCACCCGAGAATTGTAATGACTTTGAAATGACAGGAACATGAAGAAATTAACAGATTCACACATATATAATGATTTGTTTGTCTCAGGGAATATGTTGCACACACAATCAATATCAAGTAATTTGATCAATTTAATGTGTCTGTCCTATGTATGTAAATGCAAAGCCAGCTCAAAGCTGCGTATGATTAAAAAACTTATTAAAACACATATTTTCTTATTTGTCCCCGTCTGTGTGACATCTTCAGTAGAAATACTGCTCGCATTTGTACTGCTTATACTTTGAGTACAACATCTTGTTTTTTCAACAATTTCTTTGGAGGGATAATGTGAGTGTATTATAAATGGCACTTTGACACTGATACAAAGAACAACCTTTGTTCACCTTCCTAATGTTCCTATCTTGAATATTCAAGCACATGTTATTTGAGTTTATGTGTTACTCAATAAACCACACCCACGAAATAAATTTCAAAATGTAAGTGAGTATCCTGTTAAAGCATTGTATGATCTGTGATCACAACGTGACTCAGAACATTGAGTAGGCCTACTTTGAGACTCAAAGTTCGAAATGCAGATGTTGCCTTTTTAATTTGTGTCTGAATTCAGTAATTAAGGGTTTCTTACCAAGTAAGCACATGAAAAACAATGTCACGCCCTGGTAGACTTTTGATGTTAGAAAGGCAGGTAGGGTTTAAGTCTGTGATTTTTCCTGAGAAAGTCTGTGATTTTTCCTGATTGAGAATTTTTGTGCAGTGAGATGTAAATCATTATAAATAAACTATCTACTGCTTTTTCGTGTGTAGTTTTCCAATAAATACTTGTAATATTTTATTTACTTTCACATTCCTTGTGCAGGGTGGTAACACTGCGTGTTGTACATTCTTGTTCGACAGACCTGCTGAACTTGTTCTGACCTGATCTGCACAGCATGAAAGGAACATCGTGTTGCTGAACCATTCTTGTATCATGTCTCATAGGAAATTGATCAAAAACGCTCACCGATGCATATTTAGTCCTACGGTTTGGCACAGGACTAAAACCATTTTGATCACCTCTCTAAACTTAAAAGAAACTTATAAGATGACACTTGAGGATTTGAAAGAGAGCCTCAGAGCTGTCTTAACTTGTTCGGAGATGGTAAATGAGGACAATGTTCCAGCTGTGGACATAAAAAAAACAACTATTAGTTTAAAACAACAATGTTCCTCAAAGTCACTGACTGAATTTAAGTATCATCTCTAAATGATCATATATGATCTAAAAATTTGCCAATGTTAATTTTGTGTTAAATCTGAAAGTCTATCTGCTTCATATAAATAAATAATTTAATAAAAGATAAGATTTAGAATGGTCCAGTGCAAAGCTGGACAAGAGTATAATGTACATCAGAAATCTATTGTTTAATAGAAGTTGTTAGACTTTTTCAGGCGGCCCAAAATTCATAATCAGCCCAAAGAAAGTATTTTAATGCCATGATCAATAATGCCCAGTCGTCATAAAACCCATACAGCCCTTTAAAGGTGCATAACATCTCACTTGTTTACTGTTATCTCTTTGTTTGTGCACTTTATTTTATATTTACTGTACATTTTAATATGTTTCTATCTTTTGCACTGTGTTGATTGTTGTTGATTGTTTAATGTTATGCACCACCCACCATGTCAAATTCCCTGTATGTGCAACCTACCTTGGCAATAAACGGTTCTGGTTCTGATATCTACACTGATAATACACTGGTATTAATACTGTCCGTCTGTTGATCTTTATCTCTGCTATTCCCCCCATTGCTGTGTTTTTTTAAACTTTAACATGTATACCTGTGGCATGATGCATGGGTGGATGTGTTCTGGATTATTATATTATATATGTTGTGTATACATTTTTTTCAACTATGTAATTTTATTCTATTTCTAACGTGCCCTATTTAAAAATCTTGGCAGGGACAAAATGATGATGAAATGATGATGAAAATTAGAAGAAAAAATTTGCAAGGCTTCCAGTCTAACTCTGGATCATTTACTGTTTTATTTATTTTTATCACCGAGCAAAAAAAATGAAAATCTTTAAATACGCTTCATATCTCTTTGACTCTGTTTCCACATTTGTTGCAGTTCTATTTAATAATAGTTAGACTCGTTTAATTACAGAAAGGGACTTTTATGACCACGTGAGAAATTAATATTCGGCTCACGTATGTCTGCTTGTCTCCTTTGCTTCCTACAGATGACTTACTGTAGGAGATAAGTGGGAGTGAGGGAGGAGAGGACAAACGGAATGCAGCCGTAGAGGCTCTCTCTCTATCTCTCTCTCACCACCAGTGTTTGTAGTTTTCTCATCAACACAGTGTCTCAGTTATTCGGTTCCCTCTGGAATAGCAACAGTTTGTGGACTAGTCGTGGTTACGGGTGAATACCGGTAACAAGAAGGCAACAACATGAGTGTCGAGGCGTACGGGCCGAGCTCGCAGACTCTGACGTTCCTCGACACCGAGGAAGCCGAGCTGCTGGGAGCGGACACCCAGGGCTCCGAGTACGACTTCACCGATTTCACCCTGCCGAGCCAGACCCAGACCCAAGGCCAGACCCAGAGCCAGCTGGACCACCAGGTGCGTGTGGTTGTTTGTGGCGGTGCGGAGTCTAAACACGTCTTCTCCTGTGTTGACAAAATGTCAATTTAGCTAACGCGAGCTAACAACAACCGCTGGCTACCTCCGGTTAGCATGGTGACGCCTCCCATCGGTTACCATGCCTATTCCCGCTAATTGGCTAGCATGCTAACTTCTGAGCACAGTTAGCATGCTGACACAGCTAGCATGTCAATGCAGGACTTAATTGACATACAAAGCAAGAGTGTGTGTGGCAGATCTACCTCAAATGCCCATATTTACACTAATTATTGTACGTTTTTTTTTTTATGTTTTTTTCTCTAATTTATGTACTAAATACTTACAACACCCACTGACAACAACAAACAGATCTGTAGCAACACATAGTTTCATACAGTCGGTTTGATATTGCTGTAAGCAAACCGTTAGCTGATGTGACAAACAGTGGAATATATGACCATATACAGCTTTATGTATCTCGTTGACTGTCCAGTTTTATGTCTATCTGTGATCCTTAATTGTTAGTTTATCCCAAGTACTGTTGACATCTCGTTTCAGTTCATAGTTAGGATTGTATTCATCTGTCTCCTCAGGTTAATGGCCCTGACGGCATACTACAGAATGGTGACGACCCTGTCATTAAAGCCAGTCAGCTGCTGGCAGACTTGAACTTTGAGGAGGATGAGGAGGACACCTACTACACCAAGGACCTGCCTCTACATGCCTGCAGGTACTGTCGTAAGGACCAACTTTATAGCCCCCTTTTTATACTCCGTTGAGTCTCAGTGGGTTGTGGGAATTTTCTGTTGACCAAAATGTCTGAAAATATTTAACAGAAAACTGGTTCAAAGTTTTAAAAACTTCTCTGCAGACACTCAGTCACACACTCTACAGATGTCACAGAAAGCCACATTAGAACATCTGGTATTGTGTCTAATGTCAACTATTGTTCATCACTATTATTGCAGCTTGTGTGCGCTTTAACTAACAAGTTGGCTGACAGCTGTTAGTTTGGCTGTGTCAAAACATTGCTGTTGAGTGTGTCTGTCATCACAGACATTATTAGTTGCCTAGATTGTGAGTTTGTTTTGTTTTTTTATAGAACAAGTGATGGATCACTATGTCTTTCACCAGCAGATCAGTAGCCAATGCAAATGTTTTAAATTGTTTTCCCTGAAGTTTGGCAGTGAAAACAAAGTCGGTTGTCTCTATTATTTTTATATAGATGTCGATTCTCATCAGCCACATACAGGTTTATTTTGGGTTTTATGACATGCAGCTGAATCCTTTACTGTTTGACAGGCTATGACACAACTCATGAAGTATGTATTTTGCTGATCAAGTGCCAAAAACAAAATCTACATACAAACTGGATACATACTTTTCTCAATGACCAAAAGGAAGAGTTTTTCAAAAGCTCACATGGCAGTGACATCAACAGTACAGCCCCTAGTTACAGGCTCTTTGAGGCTGATACCAATATTGATATTTGAGAGTTTGAAAAATCTGATAATGATTTATTAGTTGATATTCATTTTTGTAACACAACCTATAATATAAATAACATTTTTAATTATGTTTCCATAGATTTTTGATTTCTAACAATCGCTACCAAAAAATACTATACATAAACGTAAGTACTGGGCGGAGCTATTTACTATTGACACATAAACCTGGTATTACTCTCTGTTGGACAAATTATAGAATGGTGACACTGTTTCAAAACATACTGTATTTTTGGCATTTCTATACTTCAATTTCTTGTCATTTATCAGTAATACCGATGTATCTGCGATGAGCTAATAATGTTGACGTATGAGCATTTCTCATTAATATTATTATATATATATTTAATATGCAACATTTTCAAAGTCCATCCCATCAGCTACTGCAAGTCACTCTGTTGTTTGTTCCCAAAAATGGAAAAAAGAAAAATGACTTTGTGCATTCATGTGTTATTGCTTTAGACAACTATAAAACAACTATAAGATGGATTGTTGCATCACTTTGATCTTAGTTGCATCAGTAAAGAATGGGTTTGCGACACCAGCGATCTTGCAGTATAATCCAAATTGAGTCAGTGTTATGTGCTTATTTTTCTTGTTTTGTTTTCTGGCTCTTAACAGTAGTACTTTGTGTTTCTTTTTTTAATTTTGACTCACTTGTTTTTTTTAGCTACTGTGGTATTCATGATCCAGCCTGTGTGGTTTACTGCAACACCAGCAAGAAATGGTTTTGTAATGGCCGTGGAAACACATCCGGCAGGTAAGATATAAAGACTTATCAGGTTAAAATTGACCCTCTGTGTTGGTGTAATGAGCTAAATGAACAGGGAGAGGGTACTTTTACAGGTACAATGTCATCATAGCAGGAGTACTGTATAAACAAGGGGTTATGAGGAGTTAAAAACTAAATTTAAAACATGTTTACTGACTTTTGAGGGCTCTTTTAAGTAATTCAACCTATTGATCCAAAGTAAATCTTAATTAGATTAGTTTCTTCATTAGGTGCTCTTTTGAATCAGCCTTTCAATAAACCTAAAAACATCAGCAAGACACTATTCATTTCTGTGAATGAGAAGAACACTGGTCTGAACACTTGGTCTTCTCTTATACATAGTTCAATTCATACAGAAACTGAACTTTCTCAGTAATCAGTCATGCACAACTGATGCCGCTTTTGCCACTTCATAGTAGTTGTGACACTGTAGACTGCAGTTGGATAGCTCGAGGCAATAATTACATAGCAACACATTCGGTCATGATGTGAACCCACTTACAGCTACTTAAGGTTTTGCTGAACTTGTATGATGGTCAGCTGTTTCTCTGTATTTAAAGCTCTTTTAGTAAACACTTATTAGGCAAAATGCTATAAAAAAACAGCAGTTCGCTGTATCAGTGTGGTAGATGGCTACATTCTTGAACAGTCATGTTTTATTTTGAGTTTGAATAAAATACAAATTGTCAAGACCTATGTGTGAGGAAGCATAAATACTGTACATAACACCCGCATCCTATATCTTCACTTTTAGCCACATTGTAAACCACCTGGTGAGAGCAAAGTCTAAGGAGGTGACCTTGCATAAAGATGGCCCTCTGGGGGAAACGGTGCTGGAGTGCTACAACTGTGGCTGTCGCAATGTCTTCCTTCTGGGCTTCATCCCTGCCAAGGCCGACTCCGTAGTGGTGCTATTGTGCAGGTAAAGGGGCCTTTTTGTGTAGCTGCCCGTGCACACTGACCTTCCTGCTCATGGGGCAATCAAGGAGATTACAGATTTCCCCGTTGTTGTTGAACATTTGTGTTTTTGGTTGTAACGCAGGCAGCCATGTGCCAGCCAGAGCAGCCTGAAGGACATCAACTGGGACAGCTCACAGTGGCAGCCTCTCATCCAGGACCGCTGCTTCCTGTCCTGGCTGGTGAAAATCCCTTCAGAGCAGGAGCAGCTCAGGGCTCGTCAGATCACCGCCCAGCAGATCAACAAGCTGGAAGAACTGTGGAAGGTATGGCGATGTAACAGTTGTAGCACACGCACACACACCCACCATTGTGCTGTCAATAGTCTAGACCTACATAACTTGAATGTGAGCACGGGTTGGGCTTATCGGGTTATATAGTCGGGTTTGCTGCATATTGCTGAGCTATTCTGTTTGTTTCACTTCCCGTTTCGTGCCTGTGCTTCTATTTTTTGATAGTTTCCTGTTGTATACATAGTCACATATACCTAACAGTTTTAAAAAAATGTATTTTCTGTGTGCTCATTTACCTTTTTACAGCAGACATTTTAACTTGTCGTAGTAGTAAAGCACAGATGTCGCTACTAACATTAACAATTGCTCAGTTCTATTAAGGTGCCCCAGTAAGCCATGACAGGGAGCCAACACCGGGACCCTGAAACTGAAGCAACTAATAGGAATTCAGCCACCATTCAACTTATTACTTACACCTGTGCTTTTGCTACTGTGGCATGTCAAAGCATCTTTTGTGAAAAAATTGTCTGAATCGTTCCAAGTTGGAATTTATGAAATTTGAGCATATTAAAAGAAAACACTCTGCTCAACTTCTATCCATATTTTAAACTTTCTCTCATCCTGTGTGATCGTGTGTGTGTGCGTGTGTGTGTGTGTTGCATCTTGCATCTTGGTAGGAGAATCCCACTGCGACCTTGGAGGACCTGGAGAAGCCTGGTGTGGATGAGGAGCCCCAACATGTGCTGCTCCGCTACGAGGACGCCTACCAGTACCAGAACATCTTCGGTCCTCTTGTGAAGCTGGAGGCCGACTACGATAAGAAACTTAAAGAGTCGCAGGTCGAGGACAAAATATGAATTTGTATATAAAAACATTTGTCCTGTGTATGTTGTAACAAATAAGAATGTCAAAATGAGTCATTTACAGATAATCAATTAATCAACAAACTGATTAATTAATTTATTCTATGAAGCTGGAGTTAAAATAAATTCTCTATGTTTTTGTTTTACTTCTTAGAGGCGTGGTGAATTACTTTGTTTCAGTCGATATTCAGCTTTTTCCACTATCGTTTCTCATCCACAAACTACACTTCTGTTGCTTAATTTTGAGTTGAGGTTGTTTCTGCTGTTATGACATATTTTTTAATGTTACTTCCTAACAGACTCAAGACAACATCACTGTCAGATGGGACTTGGGCCTGAATAAAAAGAGGATTGCTTATTTCAGTCTTCCCAAGACAGACTCGGGTGTGTATTCATAGTTTTGCTTCAAGCTTCCATTGTTTTCATCATCATACTTTGTCTACGATTAATATGTTTTACGTTATTCCAACCACACTCTAAATTAAGTGACACTTACAATGATGTATCTTCTATTCTCTTTTTATTCTCTTATAACTCCATGCAGTGATGTTTACTTAATCAAGTCATCTTTTTTTTTTCATGTCATCTGCTGTCCTGTAGACATGCGACTGATGCAGGGAGATGAAATCTGCCTGAGGTACAAAGGAGACCTGGCTGCTCCATGGAAAGGCATTGGACATGTCATCAAAGTCCCTGATAGTATCCTTATGACTGTTACAATAGACATACTGTATTCAACCAGAGTTACCCATGTTATTATATGTTATTATTATTAAGTTAAATGTAACATGCCATCAATAAAAGGGTTTTTAGTAACATCTAGGGGCAGCTGTAGGAAACTACAGTCTTCCTTACAGCGGTTTTTGAAAGCAAATTCTATATCTAGGTTTTGCTTCCCACCTGTTAGTTAATAGGTCCAGTACTTGGGCAATAAGACCTGAGGCTGAATATCATCACAAATAAGTTGACTGAAATGTATCAATAACTCCACCATGAAATACAAACTGACTCCGCTGAAGTGGTGCTATGTTGGTTTAGCTTGCAGTAAATGCTTTATTTTCAAAGATTCATTTATGTACTTAATTCCAATATGCAGTGACAAATTGTTCACACATTACCCTGTGCTGCCAATGTTAGTTGCCTCTTCCTTGACCGGAAGTACCAGACTATGGCGATGAGATTGCCATAGAGCTAAGGAGCAGTGCCGGGGCTCCCGTGGAGATCCCACACAACTTTCAGGTCGACTTCGTGTGGAAGTCCACTTCCTTTGACAGGTATTCACTAGAAAAGCCGCACACTGTTGTCTTCTGTTGTGTTATATGTGAGCAAAGCCTGTCACCCAACTTTATGTGTCAGTTCAGTTCATCTTTAGTTGAAAAATCACAGATCTACCGATCCATTCCCTGTTTAAGTTTATGCAATGCAACGTCATCTCGGTATTCCCGTCTTCCTCATCCAGGATGCAGAGTGCCCTGAAGACGTTTGCGGTGGATGAAACTTCAGTGTCTGGTTACATCTACCACAAGCTGCTGGGACATGAGGTCGAGGACGTGGTCATCAAGTGTCAGCTGCCCAAACGCTTCACCGCTCAAGGCCTGCCTGACCTTAACCACTCACAGGTGAGTTACAGAGAGGAGGGAGAGACTTCTCTATATATCTTCAGAAAAGCCATACCTATGACCTACCCTACATTACAGATCACACAAACAACATACCAGAGTTCACACACAGCTCACTCATGTCCCAAATCCCAAGGAGGATAACTCCTCCATATAGTGACTGTTTGAAGCATTTTAGGTCTTTCACCCCCGGCGTTCACATCAATGTGGTTTGTTGTAATGCAGGTGTACGCTGTGAAGACGGTGCTGCAGCGTCCTCTCAGTCTGATCCAGGGTCCTCCTGGCACAGGGAAGACGGTAACATCTGCAACCGTCGTCTACCACCTGGCCAGACAGGGCAACGGGTAAGACACAAGTCTTTTTAACTTTCTAATGAACATAACTATTTGGTTTGAATGCGACCTTTTACTCAACATGTAACTCAACATCTGTCTTATTACAAATGTAAAAAATATCTCGATAATCATTAACGTTCTTGAAGAATGGTTTGGCGATGTGTTATGGTTGCTGGCATGGTAACTTTTGTCCCTCCAGGCCAGTGCTGGTGTGTGCTCCCAGTAACATTGCCGTCGACCAGCTGACGGAGAAGATCCATCAGACCGGCCTCAAGGTTGTGAGGCTGTGTGCCAAGAGCAGGGAGGCTATCGACTCGCCTGTGTCCTTCCTGGCTCTGCACAACCAGACCCGTAACATGGACAGGTGACACGTAATGGCTATGATTGATGACACTTTTGCAAGGCCCTTTTTTTGTGTGTGTACTACTGTCAGATATGCATATGCTTGTATACACACCAGTCTAGAATAATGTGTCTTTAATAACAAGAAGGATATAATTAGTAACTTAAATTAGGGGTGGGTGGTAAGTCCTGTTGAGTTGTTTTTTGCTAATATTGTTGAGCAACAAATGGAAGTCCAGGAAGTACAAATATGATCATTAGTGGTCTGAAATAATTCCATATTGCTCAGTAACACAGCTGGTTACAGATGTAAGTCTTTGCACACAAGCACACCATTGAACTTGCACTGTATTGAACTTTTTCATACCTGCAGTATGCCAGAACTTCAGAAGCTCCAACAGCTGAAGGACGAGACTGGAGAGCTGTCCTCCTCAGACGAGAAGCGCTACAGAGCTCTGAGACGCACTGCTGAGAGGGAGCTGCTCATGGTATTAAGACGGGTTACTGAACTCAAAGAGCTACTAAATACATTACCTGAGATTTAGTTATATGGTTAAGTGCTTCATGTTTTTTATGCCAGTTTATGCCATAGAAATGGTTTATAAAAATCTTTTGCAACACGTAATATTTCCCTGTTCCAAAACATGTCTACTTTATTCCTTTGCTTTTCCCAGAATGCCGATGTGATCTGCTCTACCTGTGTCGGGGCAGGGGACCCCCGTCTGGCCAAGATGCAGTTCCGCTCAATCCTGATTGATGAGAGCACTCAGGCCACTGAACCCGAGTGCATGGTGCCTGTCGTCCTGGGGGCCAAACAGGTAGGAGCTTCATAAGTGAAAGTACATCTGGATAGTCTGTGTCATCAGTTCTCTGCCTGAACTGCTGTCATTCCCCAGTTGTTGGGTCGACAGTGTCCACAATTTTTTTTTGTCTTGATGACTTTGTTTTTTTCCACAGTTGATTCTGGTGGGGGATCACTGCCAGCTGGGCCCTGTGGTGATGTGTAAGAAGGCAGCAAAAGCAGGTCTGTCCCAGTCTCTGTTTGAGCGTCTGGTAGTTTTGGGGATCCGGCCAATCCGTCTGCAGGTCCAGTACCGCATGCATCCGGCCCTCAGCGCCTTCCCCTCCAACATCTTCTATGAGGGCTCTCTGCAGAATGGAGTCACTGCCGGTGAGATGAAAACAAACGTTCTTTAGAATTAACTTTTGTTAGACAGAGCGCTTTTTAGCAGCCTTTTTGTAATTGTTTTCTGTGAGAGTGAAGCTGCTTTTGTGTTGCCGAGTGCCTCGAGTTATATAAACTCAAAGCAGAAAAGCGCCCAACATCATTTTTTAAATTTATTTTTCCATTGTCCAATCAGATGAATTGAGAGATACGACCTCTGTCGTAGCAACCAAAACAAGTGGTTTGTGTTAAGCTAACATTAGCTCACTTTCAATCTCGGGACTTTGGAAATAGTCATAAATCTATTTAGAGAGTTTGTGGAGAACATATGAGGCATGTTTACCTCAGAGTCTTTTCCCAGCCATTTTACTTTTTCCTGTTTGTATCCATCATAGTGTTTTTTTTTTTTTTGTAATGTAGTAATACATAGATACACATGAAGTCTGCAGCTGCAGTATCCTTCCCTGTACATCAGCTCCACTCGTCCTGAGTCTCATCTGTGTTTGTCTCTTCTACAGCGGACCGTGTGAAGAAAGGCTTTGACTTCCAGTGGCCGCAGCCTGACAAGCCCATGTTCTTTTATGTCACCCAAGGCCAAGAGGAAATAGCCAGCTCTGGAACATCCTATCTCAACAGGTCTCAACTTTCTTCATCATTATGTTGACCTGATATTTATGTTCGTCCTGCAATTTTATTTCAAGCAGTAAACCTGAAACGAGTCACTTCAGGCCTTGGCTCATACACATGCAGCCAGTGACGGCACATTTACATTGCTTAGTCTTAAGAGATATCACATAACCTTCTGTACAGTGTTTCAGTCAAGCTTATTTAGTCTGTGCCGTGGCAAATTATATCAAATGTTCTTGTCATGTAATCACCCTACTTGTCTATGCAGGACTGAGGCAGCCAACGTGGAGAAAATAACCACACGGTTGCTGAAAGCTGGAGCCAAACCCAATCAGATTGGCATCATTACACCTTATGAGGGACAGAGGTCCTACCTGGTCCAGTACATGCAGTTCAGTGGCTCCCTCCATACCAAACTGTACCAGGTAAACCTTTTTGCAGTTTAAATGTTGTATTGAGAGAAAGTTAAAGCGTTTGGCTCCATATGCGAGCCAAGTGTGTGAATGTAAAATAAATACAGTTGTGTGAAAAAGTGTTTGCCCCCTTCCTGATTTCTTATTTTTTTGCATGTTTGTCACACTTAAATGTTTCAGATCATCAAACAAATTTAAATATTAGACAAAGATAAACACAAAATGCAGTTTTTAAATGGTTTTTATTATTAAGGGGGGAAAAAAATCCAAACCTACATGGCCCTATGTGAAAAAGTGATTGCCCCCCCCTGTTAAAACATAAATTAACTGTGGTTTATCACATCTTTGGAAAGCTGAGTTCAATTTGTCGCAATTTAATGTAAATTCTGTGAAATGTTGCCATATTGAGTTTTTCCCACTGATTTCTTCCTGTAGGAGGTGGAAATAGCCAGCGTGGACGCCTTTCAAGGCAGAGAGAAGGACTTCATCATTCTGTCCTGTGTGAGAGCCAATGAGCACCAGGGCATCGGCTTCCTCAATGATCCCAGACGTCTCAACGTGGCGCTCACCAGGGCCAGGTAGGACGCCACAAAATAAAACAATACCGGTTTGAATAAGCCCCGGAGGGCCCATTGTCTAATTTCATCAATGTTTTACACTGTGGTTTATTCTTGAGTTCAGGTTCTCATCAGTATTATTTATTCCTACGCATCCTTAACTATGACTTTGAGCCATTAAGTCATCTACTGCTTATGTCACGTAGGTATGGTGTGATTATTGTGGGAAACCCCAAAGCTCTGTCCAAGCAGCCTCTGTGGAACCACCTGTTGAACTACTACAAGGAGCAGAAGGTCCTGGTTGAAGGGCCCCTTAACAATCTGAGGGAGAGCCTCATGCAATTCAGCAAGCCCCGCAAGCTTGTCAACACCATCAACCCTGTGAGTTCTGTGTGTGTGTGTGTGTGTGTGTGTGTGTGTGTGTGTGTGTGTGTGTGTGTGTGTATTACGTACACAGCGCATATAGAAGGCTGAAATATGGGTTTCTTAACTGGATCATGAATATGTTAATTTCTTGTAGGGCATGTGAAGGATTTAGGATGCAATTCAAAATGTCCTTGTGCACGTAGAACAGGGTAATAAATCAGTGAACATGCAAGAAATAATGAGGCCCTAAAAACAGTCAAAGTAACACCTCTTCGTCTTTTGTTTTGCAGGGGGGTCGATTCATGAGCACAGCCATGTATGATGCCAGAGAAGCCCTCATTCCTGGATCTGTTTATGACCGCAGCAGTAACGGTGAGAAGTGTTTAACAAAACACTGATTTTTATTTCAAATGTTAGACAAACCCTCAAACAAAGGACATGAACGTATCTGCTTTGGTAGTCTGTTGCAAACAGGTTGAATGTTTACTAAAGCATCTCAATCACAGAAACAAGAGCCATGTGTTTGGACAGGTGTGACAAAACTAGCTCTGCACACCACCATACAATTTAAATGGAGGTACAATTAACCTGTCCTTCTTTCCACTACAGGACGCTCGTCCAACATGTATTTCCAGACCCACGACCAGATTGGTATGATCGGCACAGGCCCCAGTCCCATGACTTCTCTGAACATCCCCATCCCCTTCAACCTTGTGATGCCCCCTATACCTCCACCTGGGTACATGGGACAGGTCAATGGGCCCTCAGCAGGTGACTAAGACATAACACTGTAGAGTAAAGTGGAGTAATACTACGTGTGGAGTTCTTAAAGGCCTACATGTTCAGTTAAAGCTGCTATGAAACACTGGTAACACGCATCTTTGTCCTCCAGGTCGTGGTGGAGGAATGAAAGGCAAGGCAGGCAGCGGAGGAGGAGGCGGGACTCGAGGTGGGCGTCAAAGAAACCGCGGCAACATGGGAAACCACAGTGGAGGAAATGGAGGAGCAGACCGGCATGGTGGCCACATGAGTGGCAGCCAGGCCAGCCAGGATCTGGGCTCCCAGCCCTTTTCCCAGGGGCCTCTGACGCAGGGCTACATCAACATGAGCCAGCCGTCTCAGATGAGCCAGCCGGGACTCTCCCAGCCTGAACTCTCACAGGTTAGTTCACTGAGCTGTCATCCATTGTGAATATATCTCAACGATCAGTTTGGCATTGAAGGTATTTTATGAAGTGCTGAGTAGGTGCACTTAATGAAGCAAACTGTTTGTAGTCCTGCAGTAGCCATTGCCAGGGCTGTTAGCACATTTATTCCAAGTGTTTGTCCAGGTTTCCTCTTAAAATAACGACTTCTTCATTTTGTCCAAAACCACTTATTCCCTTCCTGCCTGGAAAGAAATGAAGGAGCAACTGTTGACCCTCTTTCACTTTTTGTTTGTCCCATTATAGGACAGTTACCTAGGAGACGAGTTCAAGTCCCAGATTGATGTGGCTTTGTCCCAGGACTCCACCTACCAGGGGGAGCGGGCCTACCAACACGGTGTGACTGGACTGTCCCAGTACTAGACTGTAAGTAACTCCACTGTGGACCACACGTAACAGGACTCGTTGACGTTGAAGGAGGAATTTGACCTTTTGGGAAACATGCTTATTCACCTCTTTGCCAAGAGTTAACTAGATGAGAGCATTAATACCACGATGTGGTTAGACATGGGCTGGTACTGGTTTAAGCAATGTCTGTGTGGCACAGTGTATTTTATGCAGGACGTTTTTTCCAAACTCGGAATGATGACAATCAAGGCCGTTGAATCCAACATGTCCCCGAGTCAACAGACGCCAGGTACTTCACAGTTGTGTTTTACCCTCGTCTCCACCTCGCTAAGTAATTGATGTCGTTTTTTTAAATTTTGGTCACAAAGTCGGTCTTAAATTTCATTCTTAGTGGCATTAAAAAAGTCTTAAATCTAACTTGCATTAAGCCGTAGGAACTCTGTACTTCGCTAGTTGTTGACTGGCTGCTGGCTCCAGCTTTATATTGACTACATGGACATGAGTGGTATCGATCTTCTCATTTAACTCTTTGCAAGAAAGATATTAAGGCATTTTCCAAAACATGGAACTGTTCCTTTGAAATAAAAAGTTTCTCTTTTAATATTTAAAAAATTCTAATGCATATTTCCTCACATAAGTATTATTTTCTATATACAGGTGCTGGTCATATAATTAGAATATCATCAAAAAGTTGATTTATTTCACTAATTCCATTCAAAAAGTGAAACTTGTCTATTATATTCATTCATTACACACAGACTGATATATTTCAAATGTTTATTTCTTTTAATTTTGATGATTATAACTGACAACTAAGGAAAACCCCAAATTCAGTATCTCAGAAAATTAGAATATTGTGAAAAGGTTCAATATTGAAGACATCTGGTGCCACACTCTAATCAGCTAATTAACTCAAAACACCCGCAAAGGCCTTTAAATGGTCTCTCAGTCTAGTTCTGTAGGCTACACAATCATGGGGAAGACTGCTGACTTGACCAATGTCCAAAAGACGACCATTGACACCTTGCACAAGGAGGGCAAGACACAAAAGGTCATTGCAAAAGAGGCTGGCTGTTCACAGAGCTCTGTGTCCAAGCACATTAATAGAGGCGAAGGGAAGGAAAAGATGTGGTAGAAAAAAGTGTACAAGCAATAGGGATAACCGCACCCTGGAGAGGATTGTGAAACAAAACCCATTCAAAAATGTCGGGGAGATTCAGAAAGAGTGGACTGCAGCTGCAGTCAGTGCTTCAAGAACCACTACGCACAGACGTATGCGAGACACATGGGTTTCAGCTGTCGCATTCCTTGTGTCAAGCCACTCTTAAACAACAGACAGCGTCTGAAGCGTCTCGCCTGGGCTAAAGACAAAAAGGACTGGACTGCTGCTGAGTGGTCCAAAGTTATGTTCTCTGATAAAAGTAAATTTTAATTTTAAAGTAAATAAGTAAATTTTGCATTTCCTTTGGAAATCAGGGTCCCAGAGTCTGGAGGAAGAGAGGAGAGACACACAATCCACGTTGCTTGAGGTCCAGTGTAAAGTTTCCACAGTCAGTGATGGTTTGGGGTGCCATGTCATCTGCTGGTGTTGGTCCACTGTGTTTTCTGAGGTCCAAGGTCAATGCAGCCGTATACCAGGAAGTTTTAGAGCACTTCATGCTTCCTGCTGCTGACCAACTTTATGGAGATGCAGATTTCATTTTCCAACAGGACTTGGCACCTGCACACAGTGCAGGTGCACTGTGTGCAGGTGGCCCGCTCCCCCTGGTAGGTGGAGTCCTGGGACAAAGCCAAGACAAAAGGAGCCCCAACTAAGTATTGAGTGCTGTACATGCTCATCCTTTTCATGCTCATACTTTTCAGTTGGCCAAGATATCTAAAAATCCTTTCTTTGTATTGGTCTTAAGTAATATTCTAATTTTCTGAGATACTGAATTTGGGATTTTCCTTAGTTGTCAGTTATAATCATCAAAATTAAAAGAAATGAACATTTGAAATATATCAGTCTGTGTGTAATGAATGAATATAATAGACAAGTTTCACTTTTTGAATGGAATTAGTGAAATAAATCAACTTTTTGATGATATTCTAATTATATGACCAGCACCTGTACATGTCTTGTATTTTTCTTTCAGGTTGCTGGAAAGGAGCTAGGCCTGTGTGCAGCTTAGTTCAATGGCATTTTATTCTGGGTAATAACAAACAAGAACAGACATGGATACCCGTTTTCCACTGCTACAACCGAAGCACCACTGTGTGAAAGTAACAGGAGAGAGACCGTGAGAAACCAACCAATCACAAGAGTGAGAGCAGCGATGGGAGTAGAGCTGGAAGAGAGCAAGAGGCTGGTGGAGGAGAGAAGGCTCTGCTGCTCACGCGCGAGGACATGGCGAAGGAGGAAGCTGTCGTTGTCGGGGCAGCGCGGTCGGAGAGGCGAGACATTCGACGGGTCAAGGAGGGTGGAAGGTCCGAACGATTCTGGAGGGGAGAAGGGAGGGGGGGGGGGGCTGTGTCATCTTGTCCATCGTGTGTCCCTGAACCCTCTAAGATCTCCAGGTGGTATGATTGGGAATCTTGCTCCAAAAGCTGAGAAAGATGGAGAAAAAGTGTCTCACACAAATGTCCTCCAAGCTAACTCAACCGGACGTCTTCTGTGACTTGGAGAGTGAGGAAGGAAACAAAAGGGGACACAACCCTTGAAAGCAGTTGATACGGCAACTATTAAACTCAAAGGCTTGAATTGAGGCTCTGATATTTGATCACATCTAAGCAATCCAGGAGAGAAGAGTGTGGAAACACCGTTTGGCTATTCAGGTGAACTCAAAAGTGCTTGTGTGGTGTTGTGCCTCAAAGAGATCAAATGAAATATGAGGATTACGTAGCCACGGATGATTCCATTTTCTTTCTCAGCTTTGAGCTGGAAGGTTTTCTGAATAAAGGCTGTTTTCATTGAGGTACTCTGTGGTGCAAGCTAGTGTAGTCGGCCGTCTTTCAACGCAGGTTTCTCAAGGTGCAAAGAACAAGTGGTGGAATTAGATTTTAAAAACATAAATGTAAAAGAAAAACATCTTTGTCTCCAGGTCTGAGGAGGTGAGCTCCAAAGATAATGAGTATAGTGAGACAATTTAGTTTTTGTTCTTCTAAATGTGTCTTCTTAGTGCTGCAAAAGAGTGAAGGTGAACACCATAACCAGCTTATAACTGAAGGAAGCGGCCATTCTTCTCTGCTGACCCTAAAGCTAGCAGACGGGGATCATCTTGAGCATGAATAGCTAAAAGCATCAAATAAGCCAAATCAAGAGAGCAGTTATTCCCAAAGACTCCTCCAAAAGTTCAAAAAACATGCATACATGAGATTATTTTATGTGCAAGTTAAGCACCGGATTATCGCAGTAAAGTGAATTAAGAGATCATGACATTGAGTTTTCATGCCCATGGACCCGGTACGAAGGATGGTGACATCTTTTTAAATGCCACATCTCAGTAATGTGTTTAAGAGAAACTCGATCATAGATTTCACCGTGTGAGATGATAGTGAATGATATTTAACATTTTAGAAAGCCCCATGATTACATCTCAAGAGGTTACACGTTGTACGTGCACTGTGAACTTTGGCAGAAAAAGCTCTTAAGACACGATGAACCGAGTGTAACATTGTGGTCTTCCCTTATTTATTATTATTGATTTTTTATTATTTATTTGGACCTTTGTTGACCTAAAGTCTTGCACTTATAGTAAAGTGTGAAACTTTAGTAGTAGTTTATCATGTCATGGGCTGAACAGTTAGTTTGTTCTGTAACTTTGATAAACATTTGTGTTTTAGTTTCACCTGCACATGCTTTAGTTTAGATGGACACTCGTGACGTTTCCATTAAGCTTGTTTCTATCAGTATTTCATTATCTTATGAGGTGTAATAACTACTTATATTCTCATGCCATCGAAACACACAGCACTGAAAACATCACTGTCAAACCTGGAGTCGTTTTTCACTACGAGCTACCTGACCTCTGACCTAAAGCTGGTTTCAATAAGCTTAACGTCCCGTCATGAATGCTCGTACAGAATGAAAGAGAAGAAAAAGCAGCTACAGGGATTTCAACACATTTCTGAAAAACGTGTCACTAACGAGCTATTTTCCATGTTTTTATTCCCACAATAATGAACTACTAACCAAAGCAGCTGTGCATCAGTACATCTTACTGCGTAGGACATCACATTATTAATACTTTTCTCTATGAATTTGTCTGTAGAGAAGTATCTGTTTACCCTCTGGATAAGATCACCATTACTAGCTAGAAGCACTCATTTGTTGCCGTATTTAAAGTCAAAGTCTTTTAAAGAATATAGTAAAATACCAATAAATGTCGACTGCATCCCTCACCTACACATACACAGTAGTTTGTGCATGTCCTGTGACTTGAAGGTAACTTTTTGAGTTGGATGTTTTCCTCTTGTACATTTTTGCTCTGAAAGTCTTTGTTTGACTTATTGCTGTTTAGAACTGAAGTGAAAAAGTTTTGTGTCTGCACCGTTTTGTGTATCTGCTGATCGATGTCCGTAGTGATACGATTATGCTCACTAAAATGCTCCTCTTGATAATCATGGAAAATTAAAGTTTGCTCATTGTTTTTGCTCATTCAGCTTGACGTCACTCTTGAATTTGTTATTTGTTTTTCACTCATGTTGCAGATGGATTCTTATTATTAGCATGAAATGCTCTCAAATAGGAACTATTGCAGTTATAATAATGCCTAATGATAAAAACAACAACATTGTTTTACAGCTGCAGTATGATTCTTAAGTCTTTTTAGGCCATGACTTTTCTCTGGGGATTATATTTCATTAAGCCTTCAAACTGTGAGCGCAGAGCAGACCTATAGGATCCAGGTTGCAGTATGCACACATGCAGGCTCATTGGCTGCAGGCAGGTTGACACACTTTCCCTGCTCCACCGCCTCGTGCAGCTGTAGCGGGTGCTCGGAGCCTGTAGAACCAGCAGGTGGTACCCTACTGTCGGCCGTGTCCGACTGTTGAACGCGTGCAGCCGGCTGGTGGAAGAGCTGAAGAACTAGAGAGGAGAGATCAGACCACCGGGGGACGAGGTCAGGCGGAGAAAAGGAGAGCCGCTTCTTTATCTGGGAGGAGATGGACGCACGACGCACCGCGGTCGCTTCACTCACCGAGGTAAGCAGTGTTGCCTCCGCCGGGTTGTGACTCTCCGGGCACCGCAGAGGTGACCGGTGGACGCCGGTGGCCCGGACAGGACGGTTGCGGACACTTTGCGGGCTGCAGCAGGCTCAGTGCCCCCCCCCGGAGAGAAAAGCATCTGGTAGCTCAGACTGAAAGAGGAGACGGGAACACCGACAGCAGCGCGGAATTATTGTTGGATACAACACAGACTCACTTAAGGGTTTACACCGAAATGGGGTAAGTGTGTCGACATGTGATTATGACATTTGATGGCAAAGAGCTCTGTTCACGTTTTGACCCAGATCAAATACTTGTTGGGTTAATGAATGCTGAACTCTCTCTCTCTTGTATTGTAGAAAAGAAGTCTCAGTCACCTTGTAAGATGTTTCCTCACCACAGAGAAAGGTAAGGACACTTTGAGTGTCAGTGTGAACATCTTGGTCCATATGACATTTGATATAGTACCACTCCACATGAACCTGAAATAGAAAAAAAGTGGAAAGTCTGTCTTAACTTGAAGAAAGTTAAGTAATGGTAATAATTTCATGTTATTGTAATTCTGAAACGCAGATATAGGGAACTTGCTTCGCATCAAAGGATTTTTCTGTGGAGCAGTGTTGTGGTTTCTTTTGTACTGACACAGATTCAGCGGGGTCATTTCACACTTGGCAGATCTTCTGTAACCTTCTTCCTCTTTGTGGCCCCAGAGCGCTCATACTATCTGATCCATAATTCTTAGTGCTCTCTTTAGTTTATTGCAGTTGTAAAAGGCCCATGAGCGATGGTGCAGAGGACTAAGCAGGATCAAATTGCTCATTTTCTTTACAATTAATGTCTGATTAGTTAAATATATGTGTAGTAACAAAGGTGTGGTCGCACTTCATTTCTTTTGGCAAAACTGGAGGATTGGTGCTAAATAAAAGTAGCAACTTTGCATTCACTGAGAGATCTGGCGTCCTAATGTTTACCATCTGGTTTTAAAAGATTTAGATAGACCAGATTGACAGGAGAAACCCAGTAAAGCAGATTGTGGCTACTGGATTGTGGTAGGAATTAGTGTAGTGGTTCATCATGAGGGGCAGCTGCGTCCCCCGTCCAATCACTACCAGGCTTTGTTATCCTTAAAGACCCCCATTCAGCCTGGTAGCCCACATCCATCTGCTGAGGATGAAGGTCGAGTGACGGAACACCAACTATGACTGAAGATTAGCCGGTTTAGACGCAACGGTTAGTTGCAGCCCCAGTTTTGTCAGTTAATGAATTAAAAGTGTATTTTCTTCTTCATTTACTTGACCCGACCCTCGTGGAATTATTCAGACATACTAATAAACAGCAAATCAAACATTTCGGTGTATAAACCCAGCAGCACCTGACTTCATATGAACAGCCGACATATAATGTCCAAGGTGGTCTCCAACAATGGAAATAAAGCACATACATACACTAGTATGTAATAAAAAAACAAAAACATTTTCAAATAAAGCTCAATGCTTTTTTCCAGTAAAATATTGTATATTTACATTACTACTGACTGATGATGTCGTCAGGGTCACTCTGACATAGGCTTCAAATATTTGACTGAAACCTTTTTTTTCTTTTTTTAAGCTGGGGTCATGGAGGTTGAAAGATGAGGGTATTTAACAGGAAGGGGAAGTCTAATAAAAGATGCTGGTGAATTGCATTCTGGGAACTGTAGGAAGCTTAACTCATGACAGGGAGTAAAAGTCAGGATATCTCGACCTCTGCTGCGTCAAATTTGATCCTTCTTGTTTTAATCTGTCGCACAAGCCGCTCAACTTTATGGGAGTGCAAAGGAGTGCTCCTTTAAAATATTTGATGTGTCTTTAAGTTGTGCTGCTTCTTGTTCCCTCTAATATTACAGTTAAATGTATGTCTATAGAGAGCCAGAGAACAAATCTCACTCCCAGCTTCAAACTGCACTCATCGCTGTCTTGTCCCAGTCAGACCTCAGATCAGTGAATCAGTGGTTGCAGCAGGAGATCCACTGATCACAGGGAGGCTCACTGTGAGATGAGAAGGAGAATCATAGTGCGAGTTATTATCAGACTATCAGCCATTGAAATGCCACCGTTCACATCAACATCTTTACAGTCGGCCCTTGAAACACTGTATGTACGAGCCCGTATTATGCTTTTTCTTTTATCATAATCTCCTGCGCCGACAAACACACAGAGAGACCATTATTGGATTTGTGTGTCACTAATGGGGTCAGATATAAATGTACAATGACTGGCCACGATAATGCCATTCTATTGGGAACAGCCTCTGCAACGTACAATTGAGAGTCTTATCAATGTCAGTATTGTCTGTACCGGAAAAACTCCCACATTTGAAAGACATTTCAGAGAGAAGCTGTTTACAGCGAACACCTCAGCGCTGCATGTCTGGAGCTTCCTGTGTGCCATATTTGTTATGAAGACATGGACAGTGAGATAGTCGGTCCAGTTTGATCGGCCGTCACATTGACATTGATCTGTGAGCGTGTCAAGGATTTATTTAGCTACGTTATTCATGTTGTTTGCCACTTTAGCGGTGTGGCTCTATGGACGGTAATGTCAGTCGACTGGCCGTTCCACCGCTTTGATCCAGACTGGAGTATCTCAACAGCTATTAGATGTTCCATGAGACAGTCGTGGTCCTAAGAGGATGTATCCTACCGACTTTGGTGATTTGCCTCTAGTGCTAACAGGTCAAAATGTGTCTTAATACTTTGGTTTATGACCAGATTTGCAAAACTAATCCCATCAGCCTCAGCTTTACTGTGTGTTAAGCGCTAATTAGCAAATGTTAGCACGCCCAAGTAAGATGGTGAACATGGTAAACGTTAACATGTGAGCATTGTCATTGCGAGCCATGCTGACGTTAGCACTTACCACAAAGCACTGCTGTGCCAAAGCACCAGCATGGCTGTCGACTCTTATTTTAAATCAAAGTGTGGGAATGCACAGTGCTGTAAATGTACAGTCTGGACACCAGCTGAAGAGGAACAAGGGAGGTAAAAAGGGAGAAAGAGCTTTAGCAGTCTTGCTCCTCATACCACATGACTGTGGCTAAACCACCTCCCAACACTAGAGACTTTGTTGCTTTGATATATTTACCTTGTATCCAGGATACATCTCTGCAAATACTGGCAGGGGCAGAGCAGAGGGTGGAGGGTGAACGACTCGGGAGAGGGTCCAGAGCTTTTTAGTCAACATGATTTGCCAGCTAAGTCACAGCCCTGTATGGTGAACGACGCAGGGAAACGTGTGGGAGACAGCCAAAGGAGGATTCCAGCATCTGTCCCTGGATGGCAGCGAGACAGATGGAGACGTACCATTGGGAAAATAATGAAGGATCTCCTTTTTAAACAAAAGAGAGACACAATTTGAACAGAGTTGCATGATAATGGGTTTTAATGGAGGGCGGTGTAAATGTTTTTATGCTCAAATCCGAAGCAAAAACACATTCTTGTCGATGCAAAATACTGTTTCTCTTGTTTCGCACGATTTAAGAATGTGCAGAACTTCCTCCTCTTCATCAAAGTTAACTACATTATATTCAGCTGCTTCTAAACCATTGTTAATATACCGGATGTGTGAGAGGGTTTGCTTTTTGACATTTCCAAATACAGAAACAATTTTCTCATCATCATCATCATCCCTGTGCTTCCTCCGCCAGGGAGCAGCCGATCTTCAGCGCCCGGGCCCATGTTTTCCAGATCGACCCCGCCACCAAGAGGAACTGGATCCCCGCCAGCAAACATGCCGTCACCGTGTCCTTCTTCTATGATGCCAACCGTAACGTCTACCGCATCATCAGCGTGGGTGGTACCAAGGTGACGCGGAGGGAAATGATAGAGAGATGTGTAAATTCCACAAAGAAACTATCCTGAAATGATCTACAAAGACACATCAAATAGTCCCAGTAGATTTGACATCCAGAGCTAAAATGTGAACCATGTATCAAAACACCCAATTTCTGAGGGATTTTCTCAAAGTAGTGTTATTATGTGGAAGAAATAAGAAACGTATAGTGTATAAAACCCACTGTGGGTGTCAACAAATCAGCAGCCAGAGCGTCTTTCTCGCAGGCCTGTGGATTTAGATTATGAGGAAGAGGCCACATCAATCGCTGGGGAGGGGGGGAGGGGTGGGGGGGGGTCTATTTGATCTCCTCTGAGCACCTCTGGTCTGACCCACATTTCTGACTCCCAGAAGGCTGTGCGAGGTGGCAGTTGGTCGCTCAGCAGCCCAATCCTGCCAGGACTGGTGTCTGCTTCCACAATAATCTTCCCTGCTGCCGCCGCCGCTGCCCAACATGTTGTGTCAAACATTTCACCGCAGACTGTGGCGTTCATGTCAATATTATTTGGAGAAGACAGAAGGACGAAAAAGCTCTTAAGCTGCCATTGCCCTGCAATTGTTGGATTTTACATCAGGTCCATTTTTTTCAGGCTGGAGATGACGTAAAAAGGTTTATAAATAGGTCCGCTCTAATCATTTTTCCTCTCATGTGGAGGGGGGGGGGGGGGGTGGTTGCCTCTACTCTGAGTTTGCTTTGAACAATAAGACAATGATTGTGAGGCGGCAGAGCTTCAGTTTTTGATTCAGATTCAAAAGAACAAACGTGTCTCAAGGGAGGAAGTGCTTCAAAATAGATTATCGACAGGAATCCCAGAGGAAACATATTGCTTCGCAAATGTCACCACAAGCACAGATGTTTCCCTGCATTCTTTTCTTTCCCACAAACATGTCAAATATGAAGGGTTATGTAGGTGCTGTGTTCAAACAATGACACTAAATTACAGTAGGAAAATATATAATCAAGCTTCTCAGCAGTAGTTATTGTTATTTACTGCTGCAGTCTCCAAAAGGAGAAATCCAAAATGTGAATATTCAACAATATTTAAATGTATTTAAAATAAATGAACATTTTAGGTAATTCAATCAATTATCTGATACCTATGATACACTGTTGTTGTTACTATGTTGTAGAGTATCGCTGGAATCTATCAACTGATTTTAAAAATATTTTACTCATCGTAGTTCATCAGTTTATTTGCTTTTGCACCTTTGCTGTTTTCCTGCATCAGTAAAAATTACAGTTTGTCCATAATAGTGCTGTCGGGTCTGGAATGACATAGTAAATTGAAAGCCTAGAGTTATGAAATGTGAGCTTAAATAAGGAATGCTAATTAATCATTTAATTTGATTTGTTCTGTCTGGATCTGCTGGTGAACTACATCCCCCTCATCTCTCTGTTACTCACTGCAGTGGATCCACCTGAATTGTGTGTTATCCCTGCATTTACAGGCAATCATCAACTGCACCGTTACACCCAGCATGACATTTACCAAGACGTCTCAGAAGTTCGGTCAGTGGGCGGACAGCCGGGCCAACACTGTGTACGGACTTGGTTTTGCTACAGAGCAACAGCTGCATCAGGTAAACTAACCCAATGTCAACAAAGAACGAGAACACAAAGTGCTGATTAATACTTTAGGAAATCCATTTTATTTCTCAAATCCTCTCAATCCTTCCAGGTGTCTGGAGGCCAGTGAGTGCTGCATTATTAATGTTTCATTACCTGAAACGTGTCCTCCTTTTGAAAAGTTCTCAGATAAGTTTAAGGAGGTGAAAGATGCAGCTCGTCTGGCGCGAGAGAAGTCGCAGGATAAAGAACTGGCCAACACGGCGCTCTCCATCGCTGCTCCACAGGTGAGAATAAAAAATAAAACATGAAAGTAGAGCAAGCCTCTGCAGGTATCAGGCAGAAAGTGTAGAAAACAGTGTCACGATTCACAGAAACATCCAGTGATGCATCTTTGTCATGTTAGGATTGAGGAGGTATTGGCCAAGGTTAGATGAATGCACCTCTGTTGCTTTGCAGCAGTTCTGCTATTAGAAAGGGCCACTGTTATTAAATCAAAGGAGGGATGAAGAGAGAGAGAGAGACAGGAAAGACGAGCTGGGTCACTTGTCTCAGAGGTAAGACGAAGTGAGGGAAACTAGGGCGATGGTAAAATTATCCCGAGCCGCTCAGCGGTGCGACGCTGCCTTATGCTGCCGAGAAGCCTCTGACTCAAACACTGTAATGATGAAAATGTCGTCGGCTCAGGGCTCTTTAGATCAATAGAGAATAATTACCCATCAGTTACATCTGCGTGGTCACGAGGAACATGACAATTTCCTTCTAATTCTACGGCTGAACAGATTCCAAGTGACGTCTCTCGCTCCTCGTCTTTATCGATTTGATGAACGCATTGGAGACGCTCCCGACACTTGCCAACTGCGTCAATTAGTTTGCGCTTGATGCTTGCTCAGTGCATAACTGCTTGTGGTTGTGATATTCTTGTAGAGGTCTTTGTTTGGTGAGCTTTGTGATGACATGTTTCTTTGTGTGTTTTTTTTCTTTTTCTCTCCACCTGATGGATTTCCTCTGTAGTACTCACAGGTGAGTCTGTCGTTGTTTTATCTTCTAACTTCTGAAAAGAACGTATTATTAGTAATTTTTTTGGCCCCACACAAAACAGAAACTGAAGAAAAAGGAAATATGTGAGCAAATATACAAAGAAAATCACCGTCAGTCTCTGAACTTTGAATTTATTCACACCTGCTGTGATGGGCTCATCAGAATAATACATCTCACAGCACCATGAGTCCATCCTAGTTCTGCTGCATAGCTTTCCTTTGTTTAAATGTGTTTTTGATTTAATCATTGCGCAATCTTCACTTTACTTTAATGTGAAAGCGATTAGGATCTGACGGTAGTCCTCGTAAAAAGAAGCCGCCTCTCTTCTGTCTGAATAACCGCTCGGTGTTGTCATGCTGTGTGTGCTACCGGTAGAGTCCATTTACTGATGTGTTTCTCAGGACCTCTCTGATGAACTCCAGTCTCCACCGGTGATGTGTGTGAACGGACCCGAGGACAAGCTGTTCCGCAGCCAGAGCGCGGACATCACCCTGTCCGCTGAGAAGGAGCGCATTAAGAAGATGCTCTCTGAAGGGTAACTGAGTTATGCAGACACACACACACACACACACACACGTCACATCAGAGTGGAAACTGAAGGGAGCACAAACACTTTCTTCTCCTTCTCTGCTTGTTTTGTGTCGGTGTTAAGAATCTGGTTTCACTTTGGGGATTGTGTGTCTACTTTAAAAGTCTTGCATTGAGAAAAAATTGTGTGGAACTGTGCTTTAATTGTAATGTTTGACTATGGAAACAGTAGTTTCATACATGCATAGATTTTGCAAGTTGTTAAGAGTGGGTTGATGGCATTGATAGAATGCATTTTAATTTAACACTGGATGCTTTACACATAAACAGAAACTGGACCACAGAGAAACTGCAAACAAACCTCATCCTCCATCTGTCCAAAAGAACATTTTTAATTATGTATAAGCACATTTCATTTGAGGTGCTAACCTCAGATGTTCATGTTTCATCATAGAATAAGTGATTTTCATGAATAGATAAGGACATAAAAGGAGCTTTCAGCCACATCTCATCAGTGGATGGAGAACATACGAGAGTGGTATCGATCTTCTCATCTAATTCTTGGCAAAAGAGATGCGAAGTACTGTGTATTTCCCAAAATGTCTCCACATAATGCCATTAAAGTATTTTATTTAGAAAGCTATAAATCAAATAGTTGAGAAGGAATGTGATTTCATATCAAGTTAGTCAGAAATTGATGACAGAAATGTTAGTAATTGGGCCGGTTTGTACCAATAGTTGTCTCACCAAACAGATGAATCATCCTGGTGATGCTGCCGGTACTCACATTGCAGTTAAGAGAATATCAGATTTTGTAACATCAGCTAAACTGCACGAGGTTGCTACAGATGTCGTACGATCGATACTATTGATCGCACCTTTGTTGTGTTACCTTTAACGTCCGTGTTCCCAGCAGAGTTCACTGAAGTGTTAACATGCTTTTCATTCTGAGGCTTCGTAACAGTTTGACGTTATTCGATTTGTTAAGCTCTTCAAGTCCGCGGAGAGGCCATTGTTGAGGTTTCACTAATTATTAACATCAGATGAAGCTCGTAAACATCTCCTCATTCAGCCGGTTTGAGCCACTCACGATGCTTTTACATCCTGCGGTCCAATTATGACAACACAAAGCTGCTCCTTAATGGTTACCATGGTAGACTGTTGCCATGGGACAACCTCAAGCTTCCTCGATGTAAAAGAGACGAATCAACAGAGAGAAGCTGCAGATTATACCGAATACCATTGAAACTGCTGACATTAAATGATTTCATGTCTCTTGTGTGATGTATAGATTCAAGTGGTTTATAGTTGTACCTGTGAGTGTAGAGTATACAATGATTGTAATACAGTGATTGTAATACAGTGATTGTAATACAATGATTGTATCATGTATTAGGACTCAATACATTCAAAATGCAGTCTCATGTACGATTCAGCTTTAAGCCACAAGTGACGCTTCATGCTCACAACGTTTTATGAGTGTCAGCAGGATATTATCATTGTTAGGGGAAAAACTACACTAGAAGACTCTATGGTGCCGTATTTACTTCGCAATAAACTTGGTTAATGACGACTATTTGATTAAATTTACGAGAGACGTGTCATCACTCTAATTTCCTTTCAAAAATAGTCTCAGTGTCACATTCAGTCTTTTGATGAAGATGACTTTTCGATAGTCAGCCCTCCAGGATTAGAGGATTACCGCGGGAACAGTTTGGTCTTGTTTGCTCTCTGGGAATTTGAATTCGTGCATCTTTGCTTTGTTATAAGAACTGTGAAATGACCTTCAGTCTGGACAGTGGGTGTGCTGCTGCAGGCTGCTGTATGGATTTCTTAACACTGTTATAGTAGCTTACTGCTTGTGTTAACCAGGCCAACAGTCAAGCAGTAACATCTCTAGTAGCTATAGTATTCAGTAAACATTTGTCTCAATATTGCAATGTTTTACACAAGACAGAGTTTGGCTTCAAATATGTATAGTAAATATGTGTCATACAAGCCATATTATCATAAGGCTTGCATTTACAATATTATATGCATCATGTAAATATGTGTGTTTTTCAGGTCTATCTGTGAGATGAACCTGGATGCAGAGCTCTTCACTCTGCAGGACAGCAACACCAAACTGGTGGCAGCTTTGCACGAGGCTAATGCTAATGTGGAGCAGTGGAAGAAACAGCTGACAGCGTATCAGGGGGAGACGGACCGACTCAGAGAGCAGGTGAGCCCTCTCCTGTGTCTGACAGGTACAGAGGGCACTTTGAAGCGTGCACACCCTGAACACTCAATTAGCAAAAATCTATTCCTAATTTAAAAGTAATTCAAATATATCTTGTCACATATTAGTTGAGCTTTACTTTGGAAAAAAAAAATAAAAAAATACATAGGTGTTAAATCAAGAGGGGCAATTTTTAGAAACCCAGGTACCTAAAAGGTGCCCGGATTTCATACATATCACGTCTGCAGCAGCAACAGACACTCTGATTATTGCTAAAGTACAGCTTCGCTCAAACAAACAAGAGCAAGGTGATGCTGACCGGACTCTGTTGGTTTCAGTAATGACCGAGTCACACGCCGCTCTCTGCTGCTGAGAGAGGTCATGCTGGTTTTGATTGGCTCGTCACTTAATTTCCTTGATTTGAACCCACTTGTGTAACAAAATATAAAAAGGACTGGCTGGTAACGCACTTAATCATTCGTTGACAAGACTTGTGCTGCAGGCGGTTTCCCTCCAGAGCTTGAGTCAAGGTCTTCCCCTGCTGGTTGAACCCGGTTCACCAGGCACACGGCAATGTCACGTTTCACCACAAGGGAGTTCGGTCTAAATACCCAGAACCTTAGGTGTGTTGTACACTTAAATTACCTCTCAGGTTCCAGTGACTTCAGATGCCTCTGGCCTCTCTATCCTCACTCATCAATAAAAGGTATTTTCTCATTTGCTGGTAGCTGGTTCCTCTGGGAGCGACCTCGCCTCAAGCTGACCATTACAAACCTCTCTGATTCAATGCTTTAATACCTTGATAACTTTCCATTACAGCCCAGCTTTACAGTATCGATAACTCATTTTTAATTATCCCTCACTCGTCTGGTATTTCAACAAGAAACAGTTTCCACCGTTTTGGTCCACATCCACAAATGAATTCATACGAGTGAGAACCTTGTCTCCGTCTCCTTTGGACCGAGCTCGTTCCCTCTATCTGAGGAAGGGGACCAGCTGGCTGGAAATGGTTCACGTCTCTGGGGTGGTGTGAGAGGGAGAGGGGTTTGTAGGACAGCAATATCCTACTTTCAATGCCCCAGTTAGGAAAAATGAAAAATCACCAGAGGGAGCTGGCATCCGCTCGCTTCTTTCTCTTTCTTTTTTCTTCTTTCTACCGCTCCTCGAGTCTCAGCCATACATGGTTTGAAATAATCCAGCCTGTCTCTGTCTCTTAGAGGTTGTCCTTCTGTTTTTCTCTGATTCATGAGACCCAGATGACAAAGCAGTGAGGATTTCACCTGATAACACGATTCATCTGCCTGTTGATGAATCCCAGTTAAAGTTGTAACATTATTTACTTGTAGATAGTGAAGAAAAAATGACGTGTGGATAAAACTAAAAACGCGTGAGGCTATAGAAATAATAAAACACAAATGGAAAAACAAATTCAGACATCGGTAAAGAAAAGCAAAAATGAGAGCGAGTATCGAGAATTATTTTCAATTAGGTTGGCTGAACTCAAATTAAAAGGTAAACTTTCAAGCGAATAATTAGTCTCTCTTCATTTTAATTTAATTTAGGCCTTAATGTTTAACAATACTGAATGCTAAGATTTCCATGTGAATATCCCACATGCTGAATATGACTCTGTGTGTTGTAAGGTGTCTGAATTAGAGGCCCACGGAGGCCATGGCCCCAGTGACCTGCTGAAAGACGAGCTGACCCAGTCCCTGGAGGAGCTGGAGGCCCTGCTGAAGGCCAAAGATGAGGTTGGTGCTTATTGTTCCATTTCCATCATCAGCTGGGAGACGGGGAGCTGTAACGTTCATCACAGGTGTTGATGAAAGATTCCGCTACTCAAAGTGTACCTTTTTAAAAAAAAAAATTTAAAAAATCTTTTCCAGGAAATCCACATTTTGCAAAGCAAGAAAGTAGAGTACCACGAGATGGAACACGACCGGGATGAGGCCATTCACAGATTACGGGTAGGAGTGAGATAAGTACCGTACGCTTTCATACATTATGCACACTTCTGTTGAGTAACAGCGGAATAATCAACAGCCTCTTCTTCTCTGTAGGAGACGGAGATGCGCAACGCAGAGCTGGAGCGCCGCATCCAGAACTCAGAGCAGAACCTGAATAACTCTCTGGAGGACCGGGATCGCATGGACTCTGAAATCCAGAGGGGCATCGAAATTCTGGACATCAAGATCTTTGACCTCAATGATCTTCGCCAGAGTCTGGTTAAACTCATAGACAAATGAGCGGGAAAATGGGTCAATATCCAACCCGAGATGGAACAGATGACGGGGTTAAATATGTTGTGGCCCAATGCAGCGCGGGAGTAAACAAAGATGGAGCTGGTCCCTGTCCTCTTCAAGCACAAGAACCACCTCGGCTGCAGGGAGGGAGTACGTGGTTTTGCTTGTCCAGTCTAATGTAACGCTTCATGTTGCTTTCAAGGGTAACATTCAATGCAATAAACCAACTTTAAGGTAAGTGCTTAACACCGCTAGACGTTTAATACAATTGGTGCTTGTAGTTTTTCATAAGTGTGACTTTTGTACACCAAATGGCAATGCAGTGTCAGTATGAATAAGAGGCCTTGTGTTGTTTTTTTAAACTGACAGGTGATATTTTAACATCTTTAGAGCAAAACGAGTCCATGAAGTGAATGCAAATGAAAAAGAGCACAAGACAAAATGACTTCAGAGAGATTTGCCTATTTAACAGCCTGCCTAAAATATATAATTATTACTGATTTAACACTCCACAACGTTTGATTTGTGCATATATGTATGTGTCAGTAAAATGTATGCCACACAACTTAAACATTAGAGCTTAATAGTGACACCAAAGATCAAATGTGAGGAGCAGAGTCATCGATGAGGTATTTCAGTCTGTTATCACATCTTCATTTAAGCTCATAAGAATCCTTTAAACCTAATATTCGTGACAGTAACCTGTAAGTAGATATGATGCAATAAGTAATTACATTTAGGATAAATAAGTAGTTTTCCACGTGATATAAATTGATAACGCTACAGCTATTAAGTAAACACAAGAAATAAAAGTCATCACTTAGAAATACAGATAAGTTTAACTGGTCCCGTCTGAATAATGGTCCCGTGCATCGTATCTGAACAATCCGCTGACGTAGTAACTCATTCAGGATAGACGCAGTCATGGAACTTCAGCAGACATCTTCTGCCTTCTGTCATTTCTCAGCACGTTACCTTTAGCTGTGGACAAAGTGCCACACGCCTTGTGAGTGTGGCTGGACTGTTTGAAGAGCGATGAAAGTCTGTCATCACACAGACTCTATTGGTTAACATGATGCTATGTGTGCGTGTATCTTTTCAAGCCTTATTGTTCTATTTCATGGATGGTTGTTGATAATCATGCCAGTCTGTGTCTCAAGCTTTGAGCTGTTGTCATCGCAGTTTGGAAATAAAAGCAAAGAATACACTCAGTCCGTCATTTTTATGTCCCTTTTCCTTGTGTTAACAGTTTTGTTCCCCTTTATGCCTACCATATCAATCCACCAAATGGTTTCAGCATTCTGATTAAATGATTTATATTATTTACCTTTAGAGGTTCACAGACCCAGCCACAAAATCCAAATTGATTTTGTGTGTTTGTCACTGATTTAGTCTCCAGGTAATGTCATGGAAATGTGTATCTGCACTGTAAGAGTTGGAGAAGCAGGTTAGTGACCTGAAGGTTGCTGGTTCGATCCCCAGCTGTGCAGGATGAATGTGTTCGTGGAAGTGATGCTCTACTTCACCTTCTTGTATTATTTTCTACCACTGAGGTTTCCTCCAGCAGGGTGCTCACCCCCAACTGCTCCAGTGAAGGGTGCTTTGTGGCCCTCGGATCACACTGTTGTTGTACTGGACAGCTTCTAGTGAATGACAGTGAACATGGCATTCCTGCTAAAGAATTTTCTTTTTGTTTATGGTTTTTAATTGCGTTTGTGAACCCATCTTCCTGCAGCAAATGAAATTCACCTTGTTTTTTTTAAACCAAAATGTATTATGTCAATTTTCGTGAACGATTCCTCCAAGCTCTCAGATTTCATATCAGATCCATCGTGATCCTATTTACTGCTCACCTGTCATCACGTCTGGACTGACACTGTGATGAAGTAATGATATTGATACTTCTACATCATCTTTAAATAATTTGAGTATTAAAGAAGCAACTATCGCTTACCTAAGCGCTCAGTATGATTTCACACACTATGGACACCAGTCTGTCCACCTTCCCAGGTTTATACTGTCCATGTAGACACACCAACCCGTGATGTTCGGTTTCTGTGTCATCTATGATTTCAGGTTGATAAGGTGAAAGAAACGTGCTGAAAATGTGTCAATATGCTGTCATTTGGTCTATTGGAGCTGCTGCGTTCACAGAACACGCCCACTGGTCTGAATTTGTCACACAAACCAGCAAAACATTGTGAAGAAAACTGTAACTAAGAAACCATCTATTACTCAATCTCGCTTGTCAACATGTTTTATTGGCAATATTGATTCCAGCCGTCTACTTCAGCTTCTTCTTGGGTCCGACGTGATTGGTGCGGCAGTCGACAGCACGAGGATGTAAAGGAGCACAGCACCTGCATGAGAGGAGCAGAAATAACCGCCGTCGTCCTGTCGCTCTCATCCATGAACGTGTCAATGTCTTCATCTCGTTTTCTCTTTTATAAGCACACAGCCAATACCAATCACATCTCCACCGCTCCTCTTAATGTTTTACTGTGCACTTAAACTCTACCAACAAATCTACAATGTGATTACATGCCAAGTGCAGTTTTTATCAGAAATTATCTAATTTCTTCTCTCTAATTCCAGTAAAATAAACAAAGTCACTAGAAAGATGATGTAGAGATAATGTCAATGGGTTCTCTGATTTATCAATTTGTTTTTGGGAAATCATAGTTGCACATGAATCTGTGCATGTAAGGACATTTTTAATAAAACGTCACCCTAGCTGATGACACAATATATTAAATATCAAATGACATGTGCTCAGGCTAAAGAGTACCTTCCTTGTCTTGGATTTTGGCTTTCACATTGTCGATGGTGTCACTGGAGTCCACCTCAAGGGTAAGGATTTAACCCGTCAGCATTTTCATAAAAATCTGCATCTTTGCTCACTAGAGAGAAGCCAGAGAATGTGTCAGTCAGACTAAAACGGGCCAATAAATACACAGAAGTCACAGTAAAAGCAAACTGAGAAAAACTCTTTTGTTAGGATTGTTTGTTGTGCTTTTGATCATATATTACTTCCTCATATTTATTGATTATCCAGGTATTGATTATCTGCTATACTTTATTCACATAGGATACTTTACATAAAGAAAACATATAAAAGCTCAAATACTACATCAATACGCAAGTGTTGGGTGAAACACAATTATACACAGCCCAAAACAAAACACAGCATAGTTAATAGACCAACTTTTAACTCACACTTTTGTGTATTTTCCACAATCAAACAAAAACAATCACTTAAGAAGTTATCAAATCTGTACTTACTTCGAGACCATTCACCAGCGGTAAGGCAAAACAGGAACTAGATGAGCCCCATACTGTGCTTCAGCACGGGAAACAAGCTCATCCAGCGTCCGTATCTGGTCCGCTGATACATCTGCACAGATGAAGGAAGGTTGGTGTTGATCTTAAGTGCTAACATGTTAGCGGTAACGATCGGATATTAGTTACACGTGCATGCGACTGCTCACAAAATGTATCATCACTGTAATAAAACGGGGAATTAAATTAATAGATATGAAAAGAGAAAAGATTTCCGTCCCTGGGTGGGCTTGAACCACCAACCTTTCGGTTAACAGCCGAACGCGCTAACCAATTGCGCCACAGAGACAACTGTACAGCAGCTGTACCTCATAAAATATAAAAATACTAATATCTGTACTGTACAATACACCAGGAAATATCGGGGTTCACGTCATCATGTTAATCACCGATACAAGAGCGCCCCCTTGTGGACACCTCGGGTTAAGCGAATTGACTGCATTTAACTTCTCCACCGCTAGGTGGCCAATCATCGGCGAAATATAAACAAATGTAATTTAAATTAAAAGAGATAAAATCATTAGAGGCATTAAAATATAGTCACCAACAAGAGGCTAAAATGCGCGTGGAGGGAAACCGTTACATGTGGTCGAGCGTTAACTTTAAACGGTGAACGTTTTATATCGTACCACACAAAGCTAACCTGCCTCATGTGCGCTAACATGTGCGCTGCGTCAAGCTAACGTTATTATACTGTAGTCAGTATTCAACGCGAGCTATATAATTGTCAGTTAGCTTAAAATAGTTGACTAGTAAACTTAAATACAGCCCACTAAGTTAACGGTAACACTAGCAATGGCAGTCTCAGGTGTTCGCGTGGGCTGGTCCGAGCTTAGTTAAACTGAACGAACCACTTAGCCCGAACAAAGAGTACATTTCTAATTAGTTGCACACACTAGTAATAATAATATTTAGTACAACACTCACTTCTGTCGAAAAGCCAGCAAATAATCGCTCAGCATCTCTCCACTTTCGGACTGTCGGACCAATTGAAAAGAATGTCAGGAGCCGTGAAGAACATTGATCACGTGTTAGACTGGGAAAGGTGTGGATCCACCCTCACACACGATATTTAACCATAACTCATCAAACAAATAGTACTTATGTGTAATATGTCTCTTAATGCCACCTCAGTCAATGACATCATCTTTGATACGATTAGTTACATATCTACAACATGTCAGGATCGCACCCAGCCTGTTAGCGTCAACCTGGTGTGAGCCACGAGATGGCGCTGTGGTACCACCTACCCGTAGAAGAAGCTGCACAGCGTCAGTCTGTGGAATTTATTTATCCATTGCTGTGCAGCAGTTGCAGTACAAAGTAGGAAAGAGTACGAATATAAAGAATGCTTCACAAAAATAACAATAAGCTGCAGATCCAAAATATATTACAATATATAGAATGTCAAAAAACAGGTTAGTGGTATGGATCATAAATATTTACAGCGTAACAATCAGGAACAATAGGTAGAGCATCAATACTAATTAGTATAAAACAATTAATGAAATGTAACTTGTGAAATAAAAAGGTTTGCATTTATTTTAGCTGTCCAATGACGGACTGTCTACGTATGATTTAAAAGAGTAGTGAATGAAACAATTGTAATTCTACTGTATCACATGTATCACACAACTATTTCAATGACTTAAATCATCACAAGAGACAAACATAGAAAGAGTAATAGCATGACTGTGTTTCCTGCATTCAAATGTCTATACTGGGTCTTACATGCTACTGTGCTATTTCTTAGTTAGAAACTCCTTTTTTGTCTTCAAACATGTGCTTTGTTGGCTTGCTGTTTGACAAATAGTGTAAACGGTCTGCAGCGTAGGCTACAACGAAGAAAAACAACAGGCACTGTGCACTTTCATGATTCCCAGAATTGTACGTCACACTCCCAGACTACCATCCGTGTTTACAGAAAAGTGTCCCAGTGGCCTTATGGGTAAGGCACTGAACCTCAGAGCCAGGAATTGTGGGTTTAAGTCCTGTCTGGGGTGCGGAGCAGAGTGGCGGAGCAGAAGCATCCTGGGCCCAAAACCCAGAAGTAAATAGATCGAAACTATCCTCTGCTATGTCAGAATGTTACAGAGAATAATGATGAAACGTAGCACCACGTTGCCTAATTTCACTCTCCATTAAGTGTGACGCACAGTGGCATCAGCATAACTGTAGTAAATAAGGTAAAGGGTCACGGCGGTCATACACTCGATAAGTAAACCGTGGCTGTTTCAATCATCAGGACTTTACTGAGCTTTACGCATCTTGTCGGCTACAGATGCCCTGTGGTTGGTCAGGTTATTTAGGACACAGCTGTTGGTCAGCATCGACAGTTTGGAGTTCATTTTGTCTTTACTTCTCTTCCAACAATAATCTCCTCCTCGATCCGCATTTTCCTCTTCTCCTTTATCGTCTTCTTCCTCCTCGACCTCGCTCTCTTCATCACTGCGCTCATCTTTTTCCAGCTGGAGACAGAAGCAGATACAGAGTTTAATGTGTGTGACTGAGCTGAGGATCCAGGGTTATCTTGGATGTTAATATAGGACTCCACATGTCTTAAGCTACTATGTAAATATTGCAAATATCTGCCCTGTGATTTATTTCACTGCTGATTCTCACCTTGCCTTTCAGGAACTTGTAAACCATGCGTATGATTAAACCAGCCCAGAAGATGTGAAGAGCCTGCAGCACCATCAGCAGGATGTTGAAAAAGTAGTAGCCGGCAAAAGGTTCAAACTCCTCCATGGACAGCACCAGGGAGGTGTGGATGATTCTGTAAGTAATCGAATCATAAAAGTAACGTTGAAAGAAGCGTCTCTGACAGCAGACTTACAAGTCACCCGTGCTGCATGTAGTAGTTAAGTAGTAGTTAAGTATTTCAGCGCTAAACATGGGAAACCAGCTGCAGAGTAAACCTTACTTGCTGGGGAAAATCACCAGTCGAGTCACAAGGAAGGCAACAGCAAACACAACAAACAGTGTGTCACAAGTCTTCCTCCAGCCAGTGCCGTAGTTGAACATCTTGGCAGACTGCAAAAATACAAACCGTAATTGAAGCTATATGTAAAGCGAAAGTAACCAAAAAACATTAGTCAAGCATCAGGCAGAAAGAGTTAATGAGCGAAGACTGGGGATTAGAATAAAGTATTAAACAGGCAAATATGTCTTCAACAAGATCAAAATGAGCATCTGTGCTTAATGTCCTTTCAGTCTATAAAGAGTCTGTAACACGAGCAGACTTACAGGATATGCACTACATATATGAAGTGTTATCATTATTCGTATGTCTTTATTGTTGTCAGCTTGGGCTGCTCAAGTGCTTTTGGCTATCAGGCCTCAGTAACAGGGTCTGCCTGCTCAGACTAGATACTTTTGTTCTAAGAACAACCGGGAGCACTGAGTGAACCCCTGACTGCAGTGTACAAAGTTTAGACCGTTTGAAGGGCTACACAGAGGCAGACAAATGGCTAACATGGAGGTGAATCTATAGTGACATGCCCTGAAGAGAGTAATTATCGTTGTGAGGTCCCATGTGCCTGTTTAGCTGTGGCTCTAGAGCCTGAATGGATGACATTAGACTCTTAAGATCCACCAATGTTACATGAAAGCAGCATGACAGTGGGAGAGTATTGGAGATGACGTGTTACCTCGAGCAGGATGTCAGAGGAGTCGTGAAGCAGCATGACCAAGGTGCCGATGCGAATGTAGTTGGCACAGTAGGAGAAACTGAGCAGGAAGATGGTGGCCAAATGGTGGATCACCTGTTCTTTAAAATCCTGGCAAAGCAAACGTGTAGATTATCGAGTCACTTATTAACCCATGTGTTAAGTCAAGGCTCTCATTAAAACAGAAGTGCAAGCCATCAACTGTGAAATATGACCAGGCTGAAGCAAACATTGGGCTAATATATTATTTTATACCCTCCTCTATAGCTCCTCACCTTCCTCTTGATGTCCACAGGGATCCGAAGGAGCAGAGAGCCATAAAACCCCAACTCAAGCATGTAGTACCAGTAATGAGCTCTCTCCATGGGCTGCGTACAAACATCATTCAACAGTCAATAAAAAGAGATTCAAAGACACTTACTGGTGGCACAAAAATGGAGCCATAGCAGCAACATTGGTAAGCATACAGAGGAACAAAACTCTAAATATAGATGAGAAATTGCAGGTTACATCCTTTAAGCGTTAAGATTTGTATCATCAAGCTTTAAAGTCTTTAAGTTTTGGACTTTGGGTCAGACAAAAGAAGACATTTGGGCTTTGTGAAACTGTAACTGCATTTTCACTTATTTGTTTATAGACCGAACTATTAGTCTGCAGTGAATGCTACGATGAGCATCAGGCAGGCACTGAACACTTTCATGATTCCCTGATTGTACGTCACACAAATATAGAAGAAGATGAACTCAAAAAGAATGAGTGCCAGTGTGATTTGTGCACAATGACTTCCCAGCAGCCCCAGAGGCCTGATGGACGAGACACTGGCCTCCTAAATTGTTGTTTGGCTTGAGTTCCCAGCTGCCTGTGCAGCAGAAGCGTGCTGGGCCCATAACCCAGAGGTTAATGCATCGAAACCATCTTCTGCTATAATTGTTGTTATTACAAAGGAACTTATTGTCTTGGGGGGGTGAAAATATACATCACTTGCAGCTCTAAAATGAAGTTTAACAAATACATTGTGAGGGCTGGGAGTTACTCTAGATGCAGAAAGAGACTGAAATTGCAAACTTGATAGCAATCAGATTAAAATGGCAGGAGTTTTGATCACATCTTAATAATGAAATAGGACACACTAATTATCCAAAGCAGTGGCATGCTGTTACTGTAGGTCTTCACCTGAACTGGATATTGCTGCCAACATTCCCTGCGGTCCCAGAACCATGGGCTCTGTGGAGAAAAGATAAAGATAGTTTTAAAGCCATAAAACGTAAATCTTAAATAGCATATGGTATTGCATTACAACTTTTTTGAAACTCATACTCACATCAATCAAACACGCTAGTCCAGCCATGAACGCTGTGAGGTAGAAAAAGAACCTCCAACTGCAAAATAAAACACTTCAGATCATACATTTGGAAAGTCTGTAGAAGCAAGAAATGTGTTATGGTTGTGTGTCTGTCACTAGGGCACTGCTGGTGACTGTGTGTGTGTATGTGTGTGTGTGTCACCAGGACTTAGTGGGTAATTAAAATCACCTGCGCACCTGTTGCTTAACAGTTGTAGGTTTGTAACTGAAAAGAGGAGCCCCTATTGTCTGTTGACCGCTACCACCCTACAATCAGTCCAGCTGCAGTATCTGACAGCATCATGGAAGGTAAACCTGTTTTGTTTGTTTGCAATACACAAAAAGAATCACAGATGATCTTTGTTGACACGTTGGACAAACCTCCCTGCGTCAACCCTCTCTGTTGATAGTCGCTACAACAATGTCTACACACTTATCAACATAGCTGGATCTCTTTTTGCAGTGGTGAATCCTGCAAGTCTAGTTCTCAAGGCTTTTCCCCCAGTTGTCTAAGGATTTTTGGTGACGGAAGTGTTCTTGAGGATAGTCATCTGTAACCTGGACAGTGATCGGGGCTGTGGAGAGAGAGAGAGAGAGAGAGAGAGCACTCACGCAGCTTCAGCAAACTTCTTGGTGAAAGACGGCCTGTCCTGGTTCCTGCGAAGTCTGAACCAGGTCTCAATCTGCCTCTGGGTTTTGCCACACAGCAACATCAAACGAACAATTTCACTCTAAAACAACAATAGGAGGAAGAAATGAATGAAATGGGGAGGGACGGAGAGCTGAAAGCAATCTTTAAAGATACTAAGTATAATGTAATCAAAAAGCGGCGGAGAGCTGAAAGCAATCTTTAAAGATACTAAGTATAATGTAATCAAAAAGCGGCGGGCATGAAGGAGGAAATGACAAAAGGGGAAAACAGATGGAGGCAGATAAATCATATCGACTATGGATGCTGGTGTTAAGTTACTTCCAAAGTGTTGTCGTAAAATAAAAAAGTAAACATGTTAGCCGAACAGGTGACGCAAATTAATTATCATCTGCAGGTTTAAAACAAACAGGCCTGCTGGGATTAGTTAAATGTGGTCGTGTGAGGCAGTAAAGCGTTTTTATATTCTTTGTTAGTATTTTGTATAAAGATAAAGAAAAATAAATGTGAGGAATATTCCGGAAGCATTTCTAGTTTATCTATAAACCGAAAGAGAATAATTAATGTGTACATAACGTCTGTAAATGTAGTGTTTTCCTCCAGGAGAGGTTTTTCCAGGAAGAAGGATGTGTTACCATCACAGCCAATCTTGTTCCTTCTTTGCTTTTCACACAGAAAAAGAAGCCCCAGCAACAAACACGAGGAAGTAAATGCTTAAAATTAGCATTATTAGAAATTTAAGAACATCCTTCCTTGATCCTTTTCCAACTTCTTTTGGATGATGTGAAAAACGTGCTACAAATTGAATGCATGAATACTGAGGCCTTTTCAGACGAACCTGTGTCGGTTGTCTGCTCCTCTGGGTGTAAAACGACTCCAGCTGCGGGGAGGGGGCAGCAGTCACTTGTAATCTATTCTTCACCCCCAAACATCTGCCCATGGGTGGGGCAAAAAACCTGGAGGCAACAAAAGAGTTTACACAAATGATGATATAACGGTAAGAGTCCTGCGGGACAGTCCGGCACCAGCCTGTACTTGTTTAGCCATACTCCCCCATACATAATAAGCCTAAAGCAAACACTTCAGGATAACTGATGGCTGTACTGTATGTACAATATATGTGTTAAAGCAGACAACAATGCAGTTTGTGTGCATGTATTTATAGTGTCAACACTAAACTTGACAGATATTTGTGTTTAAGATAAGAATTTTAATCACAGGGAAGAAATTTAGCATTACAGCACAAGACACAGTCCAGAGAAGTGGAAAAAGATATACGTATAAATGTGCACAGATATCAAATATATCAATGCTAGACTGTATACTTTACGGTACTCTAAACCAGTGTTAAAAATGTGTTGTATAGTGTATAGTATATACAGTATAGTAGAATAGTATGTATGCAATATGAATACAACCAAGCGTAATGTGAAAAACAACAAATATAATATACCTCACAGAGTAAATATCTGATATCAGAATACAACAGAATAAAGTAGCATTGTGTAGGAATAACAATGACATTTTAATTAGCTTTAAAAAGCCATCTGATTCCACCGACTCTTCACTGCTGTAAATGTTACAACAGTGAACACTCTGGGGATGCAATCAGCCAATCAAAACCCCTGAAGAATATCTGTGTGTGTAAAATGTCTGTTGTTATGCACTCCTAACAAGCCCTCTGAAACCACCTATAGTTTCTCTTCAAGTTGATAAATCATTTGATTTTGGAAATAAAGTTCAATCTGAAAAGCATTGGATGTGGTAAAAGCAATTAATACAAACAAAATGTGGTTTACAGCTATAATAAAATTAAAAAAAATAGAGAATCCTCCATTTAGGTCAGAATATTTCTATTTCTGTCTCTTTTTATTCCCTTAAGGCCTTTTTCCCTGATTACAGTGTCTGCTCTGTCAATCAACTGCTTTTGGAACCAAGTCAAATTAAAATGGCATAAAAAAAAACTCAGATAATTGTGTTTCTTAAAAGAGGGCTGGAGGTGATATTTCAGATCAGATAAGTGTTTAATTGTCTTCCCGTGACTCGATATCCCCATAACGCCATCCAGATCTTTCCAGAACAAAGAAATCAGTGTTTTACCTCTCAAACACGTAGCGTAGGGCGACAAAGCCCAGCGCGAGGGGCAGAGCTATGAGAAGGTCGTGGGGTCGTGGTCGGTCAGAGTCGGCCAGCTGTTCCACGTCACTCCAGGTCACACCTGGAGGAAGCCAGTAGTCCTGCCTCCATACATCCGGCAGCAGGTCCATTCTGCTGCGGGATGGACAGGCAGAAGTGTTGAGGATTAAGTAGAAAACAGAGGTTTCCACATAGTTAAGCCTCAGCCCGACCAAATGTGAGTTCATCCAGGTAAACCCCATCTGGGTAGTCCGGTTGGATTTAAGTAAGCAGTGAGTGGAGTGAAACCTGTGACAACCAGTGTTTGATTGTGTGTGTGTGTGTGTGTGTGTGTGTGTGTGTGTGTGTGTGTGTGTGT